GCCGTTTGCGACGCCCGATTTCCCGCCATTGCCAATGGAACGAGTCTCCAGAGCCACTGCGTTCACCAATACTGGCCTGGACTACTTTGGCCCCCTGTACGTCTTCCGGCAAGCAGAGCCACAGAAAGTGTGGGTGGCACTGTTCACATGTATGACGACACGAGCCGTCCATATGGAGTGTGTTGAACACATGACAACGTCTGAGTTCCTGCTAGCGCTCCGGCGCTTCATATCAAGACGTGGCGCACCCCAACTTATTGTGTGCGACAACGCGCCTCAGTTCGCTCTGGCGCGAACGACCCTGGACACGGCATTCGAGACGTCGGTGCGAAGTGACGACCTTCAGCACCTTCTGACATCTGCCAGGATATGCTGGCGGTTTATCGTGCCTCTCTCGCCCTGGATGGGCGGGTTTTATGAACGCATGGTTGGGCTTGCAAAGCGCTGCCTGCGCAAGACCCTCGGCAACGCCCGGCTTCAGTTGTCACAGCTGGTGACGATGCTGAGCGAAGTCGAGGCAGTCCTGAATTCGAGACCGCTGACATACGTCGGTGACGACATCGCGGCTGTGCTGACACCATCGGCATTTCTCTGTCACCGGACTACGACAGCTCTACCACTGCCCTCGCCGGACAATTCGAACGACCCGGAGTACGTTCCGAACGCCACCCCAGCACACGACCTGGTCACCCTGTGGGCAAAGGGTGAGCGCCTGCTGAATGCCTTCTGGCAACAGTGGCGCAATGAGTACTTGGCGGAACTGCGTGACCGCCATCAGCGACTTCAACAGCGTGATAGAGCCACCACAGCGGGTCCAGCAGTCGGCTCAATTGTCTTGCTGACTGATGACGCACCAAGAGCTACCTGGAGGCTCGCTAGGATTGTTGATCTCCAGGTTAGCGCCGACGGTCACATCCGGTCGGCGACAGTCATCACTGCAGACAAACGCCAGCTGAAACGCCCGTTGCGCCTTCTGTATGCTCTGGAATGCGAGGATGTAGCACCCGCCGCCGAAGCCGCTGCCGCAGATACACTCGCCGCCACAGCCACACCCGCCGCTGCCGCCACGCCGCCGCCTGGTCGTCCGCAGCGTGCAGCTCCTGCAAGGCAACGCCAGCAACTCCAGCAGCTAATCAACAGCGACAAGTTGTGAAGATGACTTGTTTGCCAGCATCATAGTTAAAATTCGTATTGTCTTTCTCTTTCCATCTATCGTCTCCCAATTTCTTATCTTCATATACGTGTATGTAACTAACTTCGTTCCCGTCTTTCTGGGGGGAGTGTCACGACGGGTGTCGTGATTCTATTCCAGCTATCTCTTAGCCTGTCACCAGGAAACCCTATATATAGGGTTTGACATAACGCTACACATAAAGACCCTATATATAGGGTTAGGACCCCTAAAGAAAGGGTTTGATCAGTCCTCACAACTGGGCACACAATACACACAGTTTCACTTGGTTTTTTTTTGATATTTTCACTGCATTGCCATTGATGTTAGCAGGAGCGCTCCTACGACGTGCGCGAGTGTCGCCGCATTTGCTGCTTCCGACCCACGTGTGGATCAGCTGATGCAGAAACGGCAATGGCGGGAGCGGCAGCTGCGACAGCCGCTGTTGATGCTTCGCCTTCTTCTTCAGGAGCATCCGACGCTGCTGGAACATCGACATCATCATCCTGAGTCGACACCAGGTCGCCAGGAACATTCTCATCGCCCGAGTTCGTCTCCACTAACTCAAGTTGCTCTTCCTCCATCGTGAAAAATCAAACCCTAGATATAGGGTCTAGAAAATGTTACGACAGCGCTGCACTAAAACTAACCGTACTCGAAGAAAACAGCAACAAAATGATCACGGTCTTCAGCAAGAGAACCGTACGTACATTCTACGTATGTAGGCCCAGGCGTCTAGTTGCCATAGCAGCCAAGTGGGCTCTCAAGAGAGCTCAAGATAGAACGCGCGGCTGAAAACCCTATATATAGGGTTTGACAGGCTAAGAGATACACATATGCAAACCAAGTCATCATATTACTACATGTACAGGAGTTGCGATCTGGCTTCACCTTTTTTTTCTCCTGTTTTTGTCCCTCTTGCTCATGTTTGAATTTGCCGCGACGCCTTTGTTTCTCCAACTTTACATCATCCACTTACATACGTACTGGTAGTACCTCGCGAGTTCACCATTCTGGGCTCACACCTAGACCACGACATGACATCCATCTTGTTCTTTTCTGTTGAGTTACCTTTTTTCCGTTTTCACCTTGGGGCAACAGCGAGTTCTCCGCTGGTGCCATATCACTTCAAAGAAACGGAAACTGTTCAATACTCTAGATCCTTGTGCGGTTTGAACTCACCCCTAGCTCTCCCACTGTACCCAACTAATCTTCATTCCGCACAAAGTATGTGTGCAAGTGGATCTCTTCGATTTCGCTCAAATTTTGCAGGTATGTTCCCTTTGGGGTGTAGATCGATTGTGCAAAGCCCTTGAAAAAGTTTCTGAAGGGAACCTTGAAACTTGCATACCCCTCAAAAATTGTCGGTGGCGCAAGGAGAAGCTTGGCGTTTGGAGTGACAAGTGATCACCGCTGGTTTTCCTTGTCAGAGTCAACAATACACTTTATTCTGCAGCGTTGGGAGTAGTGTTGGAGTAGAAATTGCTGAGGAGACATTGCGGAGGGGCGAGCTTTCTTGCGCAGGTATGACTTTGGTCGAGTGGAAAAATTCAAAAAAGTTTATTTCAAGAAAACCCCAAAAGGAAGACGGGGGACATGTCGGATGATGTCCTCAGCGCTAGAAGAGGTGTTCTACTATCTGCCGGTGTATAGTTCTTGCCAATTGAGGACGTAGCTGGCTGTTTTGGCAGCGGTTGTAAATTGGCTATTTTCAAGACGATCATTTGTGGCGTCGGGGGGGGGGGGGGGGTGGCCCTGGTCTTCTGGGATCCTGGCGTGGCTGAGCGGTACTGCTCCAGGAACTCTTCTAAGGTGAGGCAATGTTGGCTTGATGGAGTTTTGTTCGTAGCTTGTTCGTATACGCTGTGGCGTGACTCGTTTGTAGACCCATAAAGAGTGTGATATTTCGGCCATATTTGAGGGGTATGCAAGTTTCAAGGTTCCCTTCAGAAACTTTTTCAAGGGCTTTGCACAATCGATCTACACCCCAAAGGGAACATACCTGCAAAATTTGAGCGAAATCGGAGAGATCCACTTGCACACATACTTTGGTATTCTCAGACATGCTCTCTTTTAAGTTTTATTGTGTGCACTCAACACACCGCCTCACGATCACGCAAAAATTCTAAAATGTGAGAGCACAAATCATAAAAATAACAAAAAGAACAGAATCCACTGGCTCTGTGGGGGCCTCTAGTTATCCTCATAGAAGGGCAAATAAAAAAACGAACAGAACACACGCGCTGTGCGGGCGCCTCTTTACCCTCGAGGAGAGCAAATAATAAAGAAGAAAATGTTGGGAGAACAGAAAATACAAAACTCACATACTCATCACGTTCACAACAACACACGTACCCTCTCACCAACGAAACTCCTCACGCCGTCTGCCATGTCGTCCGCCATCTCAAAGCGCTGCTCACCGTCCACATCCTCACACTGCAGCCTTCACCTTCCATCCTTCTTTTTTTCTGTTTTAGTTTTTCTTCTGGGCACAGTTTTACGTCGTGTCCGGGACCATCCATCGATCATCCTTCTTTTCCCTTTCCTTTTCTTCTGGGCACAGTTTTACGTCGTGTCCGGGACCACCAGTGACGACGACTGACAAGAGACGGGAGAGACGAATGATGAAGGACGAGGACGATGGACTAACTTCTTCAAGACGGACAAAACTGTGACGATAGGACGACTGGAGATGACATCGGAAACTGGGAGCGAAGGCCACGCAGGACGAATCCAGAAGTTGCAGTTTACAACAATTTCCATTACCGCTGCCACCAATGTTAGCTGCTCCCGGCTAATGATGCCCCCTCACACCGGAACACAAGGGTTTTATATGATTGGATAATTAGAAGTATTTGATAAGAGTGTAGACAGAAGGAGAACAGGACAACGACAACTCAAGGCAGACTAGAACAGAACAGAACTGGAGCATGCGCTCTTCTATGTGAGTGGCTCATTGCCAAGGGGAACGAGCGGGAAATACGAATAGTGAGTATTCAGGTCGTAGCATACATACACCTATTACATATGCGTGCATGCATGTGGGTTAACAGGTATGTACGTATACTTCTTATAGCAAGTATATGAACCCTGAAACCAACAAATACACCTTCAAGCAGCAGAGCCTTATGGCAACCCTAACACCATCTGGCGTAAGTGTACCCACCAACCGAACTAGCTGGCACTACACGCCTAACACACACACACACACACACACACACACACACACACACACACATACATACACCCAGACATACTCTCTCCATCTCTCTGTTTCTGTCTCTTTGTCTCTCCCTCTCTGTCTCACTGTCTCTCTGTCTCCCTATCCGTGTGTCTGTGTATGCATGTGTATATGTGTGTCTATATGTCTGTCTGTTCCTCTCTCTCTCCCTCTCCCTCCCTCCCTCCCTCCCTCCCTCCCTCCCTCCCTCCCTCTCTCTCTCTCTCTCTCTCTCTCTCTCTCTCTCTCTCTCTCTCTCTCTCTCTCTCTCTCTCTCTCTCTCTCTCTCTCTCTCTCTCTCTCTCTCTCTCTCTCTCTCTCTCTCTCTCTCTCTCTCTCTCTCTCTCTCTCTCTCTCTCTCTCTCTCTCTCTCTCTCTCTCTCTCTCTCTCTCTCTCTCTCTCTCTCTCTCTCTCCTCTCACTCTTTCTTTCTTTCTCTCTCTCTGAATTGAGTGGCTGATTTGTTTTTCGGTACATATGCATATATTCTTTCCATCCGTGTGTGTGCCTGTGCACATGCTGCACATGTGTGTGTGTGTTTGTCTGTATGTGTGTGTGTTTGTGTGGGTGTGTCTTTCCGTATGACTGTGCTTGGTTTGTTGTTGACAGCCCTAAGTATCGTTCATTGCCTGCACGAGCTATGAAATACAATAAACAGGACACTATCCTGACACTATCAATAAACAGGTTAGTTACTCGTGTGTGTGTGTGTGTGTGTGTGTGTGTGTGTGTGTGTGTGTGTGTGTGTGTGTGTGTGTGTGTGTGTGTGTGTGTGTGTGTGTGTGTGTGTGTGTGTGTGTGTGTGTGTGTGTGTGTGTGTGTGTGTGTGTGTGTGTGTGTGTGTGTGTGTGTGTGTGTGTGTGTGTGTGTGTGTGTGTGTGTGTGTGTGTGTGTGTGTGTGTGTGTGTGTGTGTGTGTGTGTGTGTGTGTGTGTGTGTGTGTGTGTGTGTGTGTGTGTGTGTGTGTGTGTGTGTGTGTGTGTGTGTGTGTGTGTGTGTGTGTGTGTGTGTGTGTGTGTGTGTGTGTGTGTGTGTGTGTGTGTGTGTGTGTGTGTGTGTGTGTGTGTGTGTGTGTGTGTGTGTGTGTGTGTGTGTGTGTGTGTGTGTGTGTGTGTGTGTGTGTGTGTGTGTGTGTGTGTGTGTGTGTGTGTGTGTGTGTGTGTGTGTGTGTGTGTGTGTGTGTGTGTGTGTGTGTGTGTGTGTGTGTGTGTGTGTGTGTGTGTGTGTGTGTGTGTGTGTGTGTGTGTGTGTGTGTGTGTGTGTGTGTGTGTGTGTGTGTGTGTGTGTGTGTGTGTGTGTGTGTGTGTGTGTGTGTGTGTGTGTGTGTGTGTGTGTGTGTGTGTGTGTGTGTGTGTGTGTGTGTGTGTGTGTGTGTGTGTGTGTGTGTGTGTGTGTGTGTGTGTGTGTGTGTGTGTGTGTGGTGCCAGCTAGTTCGGCAGGGCCGGCGGAGCCGCTCCGGTCGGTCCGGCCATGGCCGGACCAACTTTTCGGCCACCGACGATTTTTTTACGACGCAGTAACGTTATGACTGTTGTGATCATCGATTGCATGTACGCGTACTTGCGATCTCGCTCTGATCTTGCCGTGTACGTGTGCGCGCTTGAGGGCTAGCTGTGGCCTGTGTGTGGGCGACGCCTGTAGCTGTGGCGCGACCTGAAAGCACGTGCCATGATGGATTCTACATTGTAATTAATTTTGTAGTCTTGAGGGTATTTCGTCAAGTGCTTCAGATTCTTTTACTGAACGAAGTAGTTTTTCAAATTTTTCTCGCTGTTTGGTCAGCTTAGCTGCAGTGCATGCTTAGCAGCTATGGCTTCTTCCAGCGAAATATCTGTGCCAGAAGTGCCAGTCCACCCAACCACTTCCTTCGCGTTTCCTCGGCGGGAATTTGGGAAAAAGACAGTGGTGAAGCGCTCTTGTCAGGCGTCACAATTATTTCAAGACATGGTCTTGGTTGACCTACGATCAAAGCAAAGAGACATTGTGTTGTGTCACACGTGCGCAAGTGCTGTGCTGGCGAAAAAACTTGGCCGGACCAATCAACAATTGCTTCCGCCGGGCCTGTTCGGTTGGTGGGTACACGTATGCCTGATAGTGTTGGGTCTGTTGCCAACGGGCTCGGCTGCTTGAAGGTGTAATGTTGTACCTGCCACCTTTGTTGGTTCCAGGGTTCATATACTTTCTATTTGAAGTATACATACCTGTTAACCATGAACTGCTTCTGGCTAGATTAACTCTTGTGTACTCAATGGTGCTAGTGAAGCTTATATCAGATCCACTCTGATTTAGCCACCCACACTAGTAGCAAGTATTACCTTCACTGGGGGCAGGGGTTCTGCAGTTGGATCCCAGGACGGATACCCTGATGCCGTCAATCCTTTTTCTGCACCTTGTCCTCACCCACTTACTGAGGTGTGGTGAGCCCATAAGTGGGATCATTTTCAAGTCCACCCAGAGTTTTGGGGATTTCAGGGGGTGTCGGCCGTTGGGCGGTTCAATAGCCAATTGAGTCATCTTTCCAAGATTCCTTTTGAGTCTCTCTCCCCTCTCCCGGGAAGACCCACGTGGCCAGTTTTGGCAGTGAGCAACAAGTACAAGTACAAGTGTGTGTGTGTGTGTGTGTGTGTGACAGCAAGGGTGGTCTAGCTGTTCACCGCTTTTCCGCACCTCAGCCTCAGCCTCCCGAGCCCCGGCAAGTCTATGTGCAGGATGCCTGCTGTGCTGCGCACTGTGCTGTGTGTGCCCGCTGCTTTCGGTCTGTGCAAGGCCGCGGTCGTCACCGGTGCTCGAGGACTGGCCCGCGCCCGACTGCCCAGCAGCGTAATTCGTTCAGCCATGTATGCGTGTGTTCTCGCCGGTTCCGTTTGCCCCACCATCTCCGGCGTCATCAGGCTGCGTGCTCCATCTTCCTCTCTGATGCCCCTCCGGGGCCCACGTGACCCCTGTGGCAGTGGCTCTACAGGACAGGACAGGTGTGTGTGTGTGTGTGTGTGTGTCTCTCTCTCTCTCTCTGTCCGCCTCTCTCTCTCTCTCTCTCTCTCTCTCTCTCTCTCTCTCTCTCTCTCTCTCTCTCTCTCTCTCTCTCTCTCTCTCTCTCTCTCTCCGAGTCTCCGAGTCTCCCTGCCTATGTGAGTGCTCAGATTGATTCTATTTTTGGTTTCTTGGTAGGCCGCTGGCACCCACACGCACTCACCCCAAAATGATCGCAATAACCCCGAAATTATTTTCAGGTTTCAGCAGCATGGGGAGGTTGTTCACGGCAATGTGTGTCATTTCTGTTGTGCACTACCCTTTGTGTGCCTATTGCAGGAATTCACGCTGGTCACTGTCCATGTTGCAGCTGTGAATAGTCGGTAAGGTGAGAATTGGTGAATTTTTGACCATTTGTGTGCACCTGTTCATTTCAATGTACCTATGGGTAAATGGGGCCAGTTACAATGTGGGTGCTGGAACTGCTTCGATTTTTGGTTTAGGCTAATAGGCCGCTTGCACTCGTAGGCAGTGCCCTAGGAAATTTGACCTTGCTGTAACTGGCTGGATTTCCAAGTTCGGATGTACGGGCAAAAAAGCCACAAAGTTGGACATCGGAGCCGATTTCGAATTGTGGCTCGAGGACATTGATGATTACCTGAAAATTTGTGGAGTTACGACGGCAGCTGATAAGAAGAGGCTGTTTCTGAACCTTGCAGGCCTCGCTGTCAGGCGTATTGTCAAAGGAATCGTAGTTCCTACTCCACCAGCTCAGGCTGATAGCAGTGCCGGATGTGAGTACAAAGCTCTGACGGATGCTGTAATTGCTCATTTTCATCCTGCCACAAACACAACATCGGAGCGCCACCGGTTCCGTCAGCTTCGTCAGAATGAAGGCGAGTCTGTCACATCATTTGTGGGACGCCTGCGCGAAGCAGCTGATCGCTGTGAATTTGCGTCTACTGCTGTGGACTCCATCGATCAGGGATAAATCCGTGACCAATTGATCGAGGGCCTGCGATACCAGGAGCTACGTAAAGAACTTCTCAAAGAGTCAAAGTTTACACTAGCCAATGCTGTGAGCAAAGCTGTTGCGCTCGAGTCCTCTATCACGGACAGCAAGCTTTATGGTAACGCTGCAGCTACTCCATTGTCTAATTCATTCTCTCAAATTCACCGTGGTTCACACTCCCAGCCCGTCTCCGCGCACAAGAAGTTTGGGAAGTGCAAGTACTGTGGCCGCTCGCATCCAAGAGGCAAGCAGCATTGCCCTGTAGCGGATTCTACTTGTGGCAACTGCTCGAAAGTCGGCCATTTCACAACAGTATGCCTGTCTCGCAAGTCTGATAACGCGTGCATGGCATCCGAACAGGTGGAGGAGGAGGACGCCAACTATTTCTGTGATTACGCATTCTCAGTGGATACTTCTCAGCACCAGCAATTTTTTCGTAAGACGCTGATCGTCAACGGCCGTCCCTGTGAAGGTCTATTGGATACAGGTGCTACCCGATCGGTGCTAGCCGATGATGTTGTCCAGCCAACGCGAAAGAGTGATCGAATTTTGAAAGCGTACAATGGCGGCATCATCTCGACACTCGGTATGGCTGATGTGACGATCTCTGTTGGGTCACGCAGCATTGTATGTACAGTCGAATGTCACTTATCCGGTCGCCAGTTATACGAGCGCATCGGTTATCCGACAAGCCCAGGAGTGGTAATTTTATGACTCTCAACAGTAAAATTCTAAATTTTTGTTTTGTTTTGTATATTATACGGTGTAATATGCATTTACTTGAAGTAGATGTGGTCAAGTATGCTAACATGTATGTGTACATGGAGAAATTCATGAATATGCATGAATATATGTAGGTATTGTGTACATAAATCAATGAAATCCAGCCATATATGCACATAAAAATGATATCAGTTATCCAACATATTCAGTTATCCAACATGCCTGATTCCCGAAGTGGTCGGATAAGTGACATTCGACTGTAGTTGTTTTGTTGTCCCAGTCGCGTCTGGCCGCCAAATCCTGTATGGCCCGGAGGACGTCATCTCCGAACTGGAGTTGCTGACCTCTGCTGAAGTCAATGTGGTGAACGTGCCCATCTCTATCACAGCGGACCCTGACACCACTCCAACAGCACTCCCACCCCGTCGGCACGCGTTCAGCATCCGGGATGAAATTGCCAAGGAGTTGGATCATCTGGTGAAGCATGACATAATCGAGCCAGTGCGAGAAGCTACTCCGTGGGTCTCACCGTTGATGCCGGTCAGGAAGTCGAGCGGTGCTTTGCGTCTCTGCGTGGACTACCGCATGCTAAACAAGATCGTAGTCCGGGAGCGTCACCTACTTCCCACCGTTGAGGAAATCAATGCACAGCTGGACGGTGCAACAGTGTTCTCTGTTCTGGATGCTGAATCTGGCTTTCACCAGCTCCCTTTGGCCGATGAATCTCGTCCGTTCACCACTTTCGCAACGCACAAGGGCCTCTTCAGATTCAAGAGACTCCCATTTGGCATTGCTTGCGCACCGGAGATATTCCAACGCGTGGTGTCTGACATCCTTGCCGGCCTACCTGGAGTTATTGTCTATATAGATGACATTCTCATCTATGCCCGCAATCGACAGGAACACGACGAGCGCATGGCTGCCGTACTCCGTCGTTTGAGCGAAGCCCATCTGCGCTTAAACTGGGAGAAGTGTCGAGTACGTCAGTCAGAAATCAAGTACTTGGGACACTGGCTGAGCAAGGATGGTGTGCGTCCTGACAGTGACAAGCTACTGGCAATCCAACAGTTGCAGCTGCCGCAGACCTTGACAGATGTACGTCGTTTCCTTGGTATGGTGACGTACCTTGCCAAATCCATACCGCAGCTTTCACAGACAACTGAGCCGCTGAGGAAACTGGCTCAGCGACAACCGTTCATCGTTGATGATGCGCTGACAGCCGCATTCACCGACGCAAAGACAGCCGTGGCCTCGTCGCCAGAGTGCTTAGCGTACTTTAAGCCATCCTTGGACGTCCCAACCAAGGTAACATGTGACGCATCTCCACTTGGTCCGGGTGCTATTCTGTGGAAGCAAGACAAGAGAGGCACTTGGTTACCTGTCACCTGCGCCAGTCGTTCACTGTCCGATGTTGAATCCCGCTATCCCCAGTTGGAGCACGAGATGCTTGGTATCGTATTCTCTCTGACTCGATTCCGACAATACGTCCTGGGGAGATCTGTTCAAGTTGTGACCGACCACAAGCCCCTGATCTCAATCGTCCAGAAGCCGTTTGACGAAGTACCACCACGGCTGCAGCGCTGGATGGTCGCTCTCATGCCATACCAGTGCACCTTCTCACATGCACCTGGGAAGCAGATGGTGTGTGAAGACACATTGTCAAGAGCGCCTGTCCAAGACTCAACTGCCTCACCAGAAGAAGCCCGCTCTATGGCCGAGTTCATTGGCCTGGTCTTGGAAGAGTGCCCAGTCAATATCGACGATATCGCCAAGGCGACTAGTGATGACTCCCTGTTGCGCAGCATACAGCAGCGCGTCTTGATGCAATCATGGTCGCAAGTCACACCCGCCGAAGAGCCATACTACCTTATCCGATATCAGCTGACGACCATTGACGGCATCCTGCTATTCGGTAACCGCTGTGTAATACCAGAAGCTCTCCGACATGCCGTACTGCAGTTGGCCCACGAAGGTCATCCGGGTCGGGACATATTCAAGGATGCTTTGCGACGACGAGTATGGTGGACCGGCATGTCTAAAGATGCAGACAAGTTCGCCGAGCAGTGTTCGGAGTGTTGGCGCCGTCATACAAACCCCGCACAAGACCTGCTGCCATCAGAAATTGAAGAAGCGTGGCAGAAACTGGCGGTTGATCTGGTGTGTATCGAGGGTCAACAAGTATTATCCATCGTTGACTACGGTTCACGCTATCCGGAACTACTTCCCTTGTCAGCTACCACAACCGCAGCTGTCATTGACCGGCTGATGGAAGTATTCGCGAGGTTTGGCCTGCCTAGCGTGTTGGTGTCCGACAATGGCCCCCAGTTTGCCTCAGCCGAAATGGCCCAGTTCCTGCAGTGGTTGGGTATTCAGCACAATCGATCAAGCCCACGCTACCCCAGAATTAATGGCATGGTGGGACGTCTTCATCGAGTCGTCAAAGAGAGAATTTAATCTCTACGACCGTCCCTGTCTTTGCAACGCCGTTTGCCACAAGTTCTCTTTCATATTCGCAACTCGGTGCACCGAATGCTGGGCATGTCACCCAATGAGGCTATCTTCGGTCGCGTGGTTCGCACCCATCTACCTCACCATTCCACCCCACGCATTGTGAATGCTTCTCATCAGATTCGCGCGAAAGCTGACATGGCAGTCTCGCATGATAGTCGCCGCGGTGTTCGCCAGTTGCCTATGCTGCATCCCGGCACAATGGTGGTCTTGCAGGATGGCTATTCTGACCCAATAATTCTTTGGCGCGTGGTCGAGCAATATGGCAGACAAGTCGGCGTCACTGATGGCAGGCGGATACTGCTCCGAAATTGGCAGCATGTGCGAGAACATGCTTCACCTGCGTCATCAACTGCCACCTCTTCTCGGTCTTTGGATCTCGAGCCAGTTCCGACGCCAGATCTTAAGCCAGCTACAGCGTCAGAAGTGAAATCCTCGGCAGATGTGCCACCTGCTAAGCCTACTGCTCCATGTGAAACAGGAGTGGAATCTGAGATTAAAGAGGCTGATGCTCAGATTCATCCAGACTCCAGTGATCAATCACGTCACCAATCATGCCTACCACGACCAGATGCCCAGTCTGGCTTGCTCTATCGCGAGGGCTATGTAACCCGCTCTGGCCGCACTGTCAAGCTCACCGAGAAAGCTGCTGGTGCGTTGATGTAATATCTCCATTTTGACTGACCATGTTGCATAACTATGCCAATTTGCGATTTAGTTGCTGGTTTGGTTTGGTTTGTTTTGTATCGTGGTACAGGTTTGATGTATCTTCAGTGAGTTGACCCTGTCAGTGTCAGGGTGTATCGAATTTGTTGCTTTGAATTGATTCTTGCTGATTCTTGCTCTTTTCCTTATCGATTTTATTGTTCTTTTCTTGTCTGCATTTTTTCTCCTTTTTCTTTTTTTTCTCTCCTTTTCTTTTTTTTCCTCAAACAGGTTTGCATTTGCAGACATTTTTTCTTGGGGAAGGGGGGTAATATGGTAGTCATGCCTTCTACATCACGGCTGTTGAACTGATGTGCACAGTCATGGTAACAGTGCATTGCGTAATGCTCTTGGCCATATGCTGCTGTTGAGCTGGTTTTACAGATGAAGAATCTGAGAGACACAATGGCTGGTTGTCTATTCTTTCCGTGTGCTTAGTCTGGTTTCTTGCATGCCTACACACCTGTTCTTTCCGATGTACTTGTGGGTAAATGGGCGCAGCTGTAATGTGAGTGCTGGAATTGCTTAGATTTTTTGTTTGCTAGTAGGCCGCTTGCACTCGTAGGCAGTGCCCCAGGAGATTTTACTGTGGTATAACTGGCTTGAGTTCCAAGTCCTGATGCGCGGGCAAAAAGCCCCAAAATTGGAGATTGGTTGTATTCCGGGTTCAGCAGCCCTGGGCAGGTCGTTTATGACAATGTGTGTCATTTCTGTTGTGCACTACCCTTTGTGTGCCTATTGCAGGAATTCACGGTGGTCACTGTTTATGTTGCAGCTGTAAAATAGTCGGAAATGTGAGAATTGGGGAATTTTTTCAACATGTGTGCGTATGTGGGTGTGCGCACGCGTGCATGCGCATGCGTGAATGTGGGCGTGCATGCATATGTGTGTGTGTGTGCGTGTGTGTGCGTGCGCGCTGATGCTTAGCTCTCCAGAATTATGTCCGTGTGCGTAGCCAGTGTATGGTGGCAACATAGCCTTCCTTCATGTATAAGTGTGTGCGCATACTATTTGGGATGCTTTACTGTTTTTGGTGGCATCCAGTTACATAGTTTTCTGTTCCATTATTTATGTGTATACAGCTGCTGTATTTGTAGTGCAATTTCATGCCTTTCTGCTGGTCAATTTGTCGTCTTGATGGTGTTCTAATGCTGATATACATAGAAAATATTACCCTCAGAAAGTGTGCTCGTTGTGAAGTTGTCCTTCTTTGGGCTCAAACCATTGCTCGTGTATACGTAGATATATATCAGTGGGTTCGATTTGTGGTGATAGGTCAGCCTAAATTGTTTGGGGCGGAATTCGGCACGAAATCTACGCTGAGTACTTTTTGACGAGTTGCGTCGGTCTTGAAAACTCTGGCGAGAAAGCGAGGAAAATGATATCGCTTGGAGCTTTCCGCGAAACTAAGGGCAGCTAATGCCCGCACCTTCCCAAACATTGCCTCGGAACAAGACGATACCACCAGGGAAGCTCTTGTGGGCCAGGGATAAAATAGTCTCTTTTTGGCGATATTGAGCTGAGTTTCAAATTTCCCGGGCCTGGTGTCGGATTTGGAAAGCGCAGTGTAAAAAGCAGGGAGTAGTACAATACCGTATTGTACTACTCCCTGGTGTCGGCGCAGTTCAACACGCGTAACAAGAGTACATAACCGTTATGTACTCTTGATAGTAGTAGAATTTATTATTTTGATAGGGCAGACCCTACGTAGTACAGATAGTGTAAAAACAACAGAAAAAAATGATAAGGCAGTTAAAGGCACCCATTTTGATAATCCAGGGGATGGCCCACGCCTGGTACTGCCACTGTATAAATCATACGTAATGACTGATAAAATGCTACACCTGGGAAGTAAAAGAAAAAAAGGCCCAACCCTGCCCTGCCAGCTATTTGGGCTTACGGGGGTCGCCATGGCAAGTAATAATATTAAAGAACTAAAGACTATAAAATTAATGACGGGAAGTGCCAGCTTCGGCAGCAACTAGGGAGGCAGAAGAAGAGACAGGTGCATGTACAGCGAAAACAGAGCGGCTACCACGCAGGCACATGACACTTGCTCTGAGCAACGCAAAGCTAAGGCGGCAGCGGATGAATGACATAACAACCGAATACGGTTCGCTGCTTTTCTCAGCAATGAGAGATGCAATTCGCTTGTAAAGCGAGGCAGATTGCTTGCCCATGCCACCGGTTGTCGAGAAGACCAACGGGACAAATGCAGCATGCTCGATCTCCCGCAGCCTCTCTTCATACGATCTCTTCTTCGCTTTCTCATGGCGAACGTAGGTGGCAGAAATGGAGGAGGACTGGTTCGAAGACGCAAAAGGGTTGAACACCCGGACGTCGAAGAAGGTGCGTTCGAACCGCCCTCCCCACACTCCATTTGCTGCTACGTCCAAGCGAGCCTGGTCGTCGCGGATGGCGGTGCGATAGCGCAGCTGCTCCCCACTCAGGGGCTCCAGATGAGGCTCTACAGATACGTTGGTGGCAACACGCTTCAAGAAACCAGCGGTCACATCGCGGATCTCGTTATGTCTGATGGTAGGGTAACCGCCGGTGGGGCACGAGAGGGCATGGGCCACAGTAAACTGGCTTCCACAAACGCACCCTGATGGCATGCGCTGTGGTTGCCAGTTGTACCTTAGGCTTAGGTGCACTCCATCGCGAAACTCCGCTTTGGAGAGGGCAAATCCATGGCGCTTCAAGGGCCTGCAGGTCAGCCAACTGGAAGAGCCCTTCTCCGCAGCCAGGTCGATTACACGCTGCTTGGCCTCCGGCACACTGGAGCGGAGCTGCAGGGCTTGGGCTTTGACAGCATTCCGTGCTGTTATCCTCACCTCCGCCTTGGCAGTACGAACGAGACTGGTTGCAGAGCCGAGCGCCATAGTCTGCAGCTTGATGTTGGTCTGCAAGGACTCAGTCACCCTTCGCGATGCATCATACTGGGATGCGAGATCCACGGGATTGCCCAGCCCGAGCCCTCCGTGACGACATGGAAGCGCAAGAATTGACCTTTCCTCCGAGTTGACAATATGGCCGGTAAGAGCGGGGATGAGCCTCTCCATTAGCAGCTTCTCCACAGGCGTCAGAGCAGCTGTTGGTGTGGTGCGGCAGAGGAAAGACCACTTATTCTGCAGGCCTTGGGTGAGTGCAGCGTATGCAGCTTGTGGTTGCGTTTCCGCATACGAGGACGACTTCTCCACGAGGTTGAGCCATCTTGTTGCCTTCTGCTCAACAAAGCTATCCAGGAACGCAGGCGTACCAATAGCCGAACCCAGGTACCGGCAACCATCGACGCGGATGTCAACTCCAGTGTCGGCGAACATCTCCACTGCTCGATCATAATGCTCAAGACCAAGAGTACATAACCCCCCGGGGGTTATGTACTCTTGTCAAGACCCTACGTAGTAGAATTTATTATTTTGATAGGGAAGACCCAACGGTAAGCCTACGTAGTAGAATTTATTATTTTGATAGGGAAGACCCTAGCCCTACGTAGTACTTCAAGTAGAATTTATTTTTTTTATAGGGAAGACCCTACGTAGTAGAATTTATTATTTTGATAGGGAAGACCCTACGTAGTAGAATTTATTATTTTGATAGGGAAGACCCTACGTAGTAGAATTTATTATTTTGATAGGGAAGACCCTACGTAGTAGAATTTATTATTTTGATAGGGACTCTTGAAGACCCTACGTAGTAGAATTTATTATTTTGATAGGGAAGACCATACGTAGTAGAATTTATTATTTTGATAGGGAAGACTCTACAGACGTTGCCGTCTTGTTACAGGGAACCTTAAGTGCTCTTTACAGAGCGAAACAAAAACGGATAGATGCTCAACTTGACGAGGTATAGGAGAAAGCCAAAGCAGCTCACAACAAACAAAAGTTAAGGACGATGGAAAGAGAGCATGTCAAAAAGAAGAGGAACAGTATGAAATTCAAATGCCATTATGGTTTTGAACACTCGTACCGTACCACCAACTTACTACACAGTATACCACTTTCAATAAATCGTGACGCCATTTTGTTTTAACACGCATATCGCGGACTATACTCTAGTCTATATATATACATGTATATACCCAATGCTGTAGACAGCAAGCTGTTTCGGCCATAAAGGCCTCATCATATAGTCGACTACGCGAGCAAGAGTACACATGGTAAAATTTTGCGAAATTCTACCTTTTTTAGACCTATTTTTAGGGGTGAGGTGGAGCACGCATCGTTTGTGCCTGCAGTGTTTTCCACTACGCGTATACGGGTGGCATGAGCAAGTGCGCCTCGTCGCTCTACAAGCGCATCGCTGCTGGCGGAGAAGACGTGCGAGCCATACTCGACAACCATGGCCCATATCCACTGCCGCCTTAGCTTTGCCCTTGTGCGTGCTAGCGTCATGTGCATCCGTGGAAGTCGCTCCCTCTTCCCCTCGCATGCACCGGTGGACTGCCCTGCCTCTCTCGTAACTGCTGAGGCCGTCGTTGTACGAGTGTAGTTCTTTCCTGCTCACATGTGCCCCTTATAACTCTTTGCGCGCGACCCTCATGTCCGCATATTTCCTTTTTTTATTTTCATGTTGAGGTCCGCACTTTATCTATACTATAGGTTTTGTGCCAGAAATAATCCCTGAAACCGTTTTCGCGGATGGTCATTTTTAGGGGTTTTAGAAAAGGACCAAAAGCACCGATCACGTACCGCTATTTCTTTTTTCGCGTACATTTTTTTAACACAATACTGTCCCTCCAGGAATCCGCCGACAGAAAGTTGAAATTCTGCGCTGAATTCTGCGGCACAAATCGCTACATTATGCGGCGGATGGCGTGAATTCTGCGGCAATACTGCGGTATTTCTGCGGCGCTGCACCGGCGAAAAGACATGGCTATATGCTATGTACAAGTATCAATAAAAAATTTAGTGGTCGAAAACACACGATAGGCTCAATACAGTAACTAAGAAAACTGGTACAGTTTGAATGCAACAAAATAGCGACAGGACACTGCACTGTGCATGAATATGAAGCGCGTGCTCGCATTGCCCCCAAACCGTGACTCGAAGTTTTTCACGATTCTGCGGTGAAAACTGTGAATTCCGCGGGATATAAAAAAAATGAATTCCGCGGATTTTACCGCGGCCGCGGAATCCTGGAGGGACAGACAATAATAACTCAAAGCGTCTTGTACGGGCAAAAACAGAATAAAAACAATGATTATTGTAGATCGAGCGCACGCGGCGATGATCATGTACAATGTTCTTGACAGATTTATTGGGGCGTTCGTTTTTGATTTACAGGTTTGGGTAGAAAACTTCTTTCGGTAGAGGTGTTCGTTCTTTGAAAAAAATTCTACTCAAAAGGGTAGATTGTACTTTCCTCTACCGGCTCTACCAGGAAAAAGTTGGTAGAATCCGGTGGAAGTTAGTTGGTAGAGCTACGGGATTTCCAGCTAGATCAAGGATTTGTACACAACTCCATACAAAAAATAAACATTTCACGTACTTCAGAGTACACATCGTGTTTTAAACTACTATAAATCCGGTAGAACAGCGTTCGTGCACTTACCTCTAGCTAGCTCTACCATCTACCTCTATCGGTAGAGTGACTCTACTCTACTCTACCAGGTAGCTAAAAACGGACGCAGCCTATGCAACAACAAGCGCTGCCGAGTCTGAAGCTGGTAAGAATGCCTTGCGTGCACCACGCAGGTACGTCAGCACTGAACCAGTGCAAAGCCAATCTTTATCATTCTGGCAGCGGATGGAAGCTAGGGTGATGCCTGATGGCTGATGCTGTATGGCTCCCCAGTCTTGGCAGCATCACTAGACTTTTACTGAGTTTTACATGGCAGTCCATATCAGAATGAAAATGACTTGCTTTTTGAACGAAAAAAATAATTAGAGTACATAAATCCGGTGATCCCCGCGGCCCGGCCGGCCCGGGCCCGAGCTAGCTGCTAGCTACGAGAGAGTGCACAAACTATGTACATAATTTATTATAAACCTATGGTTTATGTACTCTTGTTACGTAATCTCTTTTAAAATGTACATAATTTATGGTCCGGTTTTTGTAATCTCTTTTAAAATTTTGTTCGAACAGTTGATGTTTGAAAAGCAGGAAAAAGCAGCCGGTACATATTGAACAGTGGGTCAAATCTTGGACAACTCGAGCTAAGTAATAGCAAAGTAAGAGTACTGGTTTTCATGTACTCTTGGTAGTAGTAGTTGCGATTGAGTCTTGCTTTGCAGCTTGGCGATGGATGCTACGACTCCTTGAATGGCGTGCGTCGGCTCTGTGAACGTAGTTGCGTAGACCAGGATAACACTGGTAAGAAACGATGCTGTTAAAAATATTCTAGATTAATTTCGTGAATACTTTTGTGCTGTGGATCATGGACTCAGCATCCCACCCCTTCAACACGAAAGTGCTATTTTTTCCAGGTTGCAGGTAGCATTTATAGCCTCTTTTTCCTTCTTCTTATTTGACCGATTTGAGAAGCAGCATGTCGCGGTGAAACCAGTGCTGTAAATTTGTTGCACTCAGAGAAAAGAAAAGAAAAGCATAGCTATATAGCCAGCAATCGCATGTCATGGTACGTACACATTTCAATGAGGACACAGCAAAGTCGGCCGAACGAAGCCTAGAGGAAGAGAATCATCCTGTCCACTTCACCATCACGATACTGACATAGGTACGAGACGAAGCAACTAAAAAATCCACAAGAAATCTGCACGCCCACCGCCATGCTGACTTTGGTCTGAGAATTTTCTATTGCCATCAAAATCTACGAGGAGCACTGAAAAATCAGCTACAGACGGACCTTTGTCGCTCTCTACTCCTTTTTCAAGGCACGAAAGTCGTCTGTCCACTTTCAAACCGGGAATAAGACATACTAGTGGTCCTTTTCAGCTGCTCCACGAGCGCAGATAATGTTCACCAAGGGCCGCAGAGCAGCATCCATTCTAGAAAAACAACTAAGATGCGAGTGAGACTGCATGCCTGAGTACATGAGTACATGCATGAGTACATGCAGCAAATAGTTAATTTCAGCGTTTCTGCTCCGAACAGCAACTAGCTTCGACTAGCGACAAAGATTACACCAAAGGATCAAACAACAACCATTTTCTTCAGTTTTTTTTGGCAGAAGGCTTCCTTGTGCTTGGCCCAGCAGGCCAAAAATCACACCTTGGAGGAGTACAAAAATTACAATTCTCAGATGTCCTTGATCGCTGGCCACGAAAGGATAAACATACTAGTAAACAGGTGCAACTCAACGAGCTAGTTGCAACTGCTTATACTTATAATAGTATAGAGAATGGGTTGTTTGGTGTCCCCTAACATGCATGTTGCGTTTGGTCTCTGTGATGGGCATTGCATTACAAAGCAGGGATGAATTTACTGTAATTATTTTGAATTGCAGTTTTTGCTATACAAAATCTCAATTGTGTAGCAATCTTTGATTTTCGATTGGCACAAAGCAGATGTCTGCGTACATTTCCCGCTAGCTTCCACCCTACGTGTGGTTACTTGCATCATACGTGTGCACGCAAATTGAGACTATAGTCATGTACCACCTACACTGCACTGTGTGCATGTTACTTGACGACGCAAGCTAGGCATGCCTAGCCTGTATGTATCGCAGTTTTCTGCTAGTCGCGGTGATATTTGAGTAGCAGTAGATCAATTTTGCTTAGCAAACTGCGGTGCGATACCGGATAAATTCATCCCTGCAAAGTAGTAGTTGAAAATACTTTCACTTCTTACCGTCGGGTATACTGTTATGTAGGCAGGAGAGACACAACAAAGATATGTTTTTTACACGATACAGGTGACAGATTTGGCATTGTCAATTCGCATGGCGTTGGGAGTTACTCAATCTCCGGACAGCTAGCTGCTTTGACCTTCTTACAGCGTTCAGCCCTTATTCCATAACGAGCACGTAATGCAGCGTACAGCAGTCACCACACCTGAGTCCAGTCCAGTGCACCTTGTACCTGGGAGTACTCGAGTGCAGTGCCACACCATCTCACATATGCCTACAGTCCATTCATACGCCGTATGCTCGTTATACAGATGTGCGAAATTTCGTAGAGTCTTGTAAAATCCCGTAGACCCGGTCGGGTGTTGAACATTCAGGACCCTATTATGTTTGCTGCTACTCCCACTACGTAACGTGTCCTGAATGCATTTCCCACGAAAGTTTTCAAGGACGAAGATCTAGCTAAAATTCGTCTATGGTAACATTGGCCAACACTCAGTTGCACTGTTATTGCACACAGCCTGTCGGAAGTGTTTGCTCAAAGCAAAAAAAAGCAAAAACTTCTGACTATGTGAAATACTATGCAGAAATAGTAGTATTAAAATAGTAGTGCGTCCCTTTTTTGTTACAGTAAAGCTGCTTGAAGCATTGTTCCGAATTTAGGAGATCTAGCTAGTCATTAGCTGTAATCAAAGTGATGAAGCTGGAAAATCGATTGTCTGCCATTGATTATAGGGCTTAATTGGTCAAATGCGCATGTATAGCACACAGCGAACACCCAACTGGACACTACACACCTACAGGATTTCGTACATCTGTACGACGTGCATGAGGAACATTGGAAACGGGCACTCTAACATTTTGACTTTCCATCTTAGTAAATGCAATACCGTAAAAGCCCCTGTATACGCCCACCCTCCGTGTACACGCCCAGTCAGGGGAAGACAACACTTTTGTTTCAAAATAGCGCTCATGCCCAAGTATACGCCCAGGTATGCCGGAAACACCAGTACATGTACAGGTACTGATACCCAATACTTACTGCTATCCCTATTCCAAGTATACGCCCGGTTCCAAAATAACGTCCGTGCCCTGGAAATCGAGGCTGCTATTCTATACGCCCGGGGGCCTATACACGGGCTTTTACGGTAATACAGTTTGAATGCAGATGGTGAGCCAATGTAGTCATGGATTTAAAAAAAGAAGAGAAGGACCATACCATGTTGCGGGCTCCCGGTTGTTAGGGTAAGTTTTTGGCTGCGCCATGAAGCGAATCGAAATAAGCACGATTTGAGAGCACGGAAGTGACATCCATTAGGAGACAGGCAGTGGAGATGTCTTCACAGTATGAGCAACCTTAGCTCTTTATCGCACGAAAACAATGCTATCTAATGTGAAACGCATTGTGTCGAACCACAACTATGCCTGTTTCAATAAATCGTGATGTCATTCACATACGGTCCATTGACCGTGGGTATGTTTAGACTGTTTGGCTGGTGATTACACGTAATGTAACAACTGCATGGAATGTCTTCTGCAGTTGTGCAGAAAGAGACCTACTTGAATCCTGCTTGTGCGCACTACATCACTAAAATGATGTAATCACGGAATTCTGCCGTGACAGCAACCCATCAGAGCTGCACACTCTGGTTTTCATGTACTCTTGGTTTCGCTCTATGTGATTTCTCCACGACTGCTAAGCATGCCTTGTTGCGTTGGAGACGTGTCGGCTGCATGCCCCCACCGCATGCACCACAAACCTACACCACATTCCCCATTTAGTTTTCCACGTGCTGTGGACCTTGTGTTTCGCCCGACCTGAACGTTGCCATGGATACATCCAGAAAATTCGAAAACAAAAATATTTCAAAAAGTCCTACGAAGGACCGAACGCAGGAAAGAGCTTTCAAAAATCCGTAAAGAGATCTACGTAGGAAAGTTGCTCTTGCTCCCCGGCACGTACGACATGGATTTTCACACGTGATTTATCGAGTGATCTTTTCAGCCCTAGTTAAAAAGTCATATGGTGTAGTAAGTAAAGTAAAGCTTGCACATCCACGTTACCACCGGCTTAACAGCAATGGTGATATGGTGAGTCTCACGACCAATGCCCGATAGGGGGCGAACCTCGTCAGCTGCATCTCTATTACCCTCACTCCGAGTAGTGAGTACCCAGTTGACTGTGGGTGTCGGCACAGTTCATTGCATGTACCGTAAGACCAGATATTTTATGCCATTAAAGTTAGTGATCTCTGGGGTTTTTGTTAGTAAACGAGGTGAAATGTTAACGAATTCTGTCTGTCAAAACGGGTGAATGGCTGTACACGTACATTGTTTTGCGCATAACGACTTCATACAATTCGTTAAGTCTTTAGAATTAAGTGTTCGTTAACATTAGTGGTCTTACAGTAAAGTGGTTCACGTATGCATCACCGCATTTGTTAACGCAGTACATGCTCCGTGCTCCCAGCGCTGGTCTCGAACGACGAATGTGGTGTAGGTCAGGCTAAATAGTGGTGAGTCTGGTGACCCACTCTTTAGGCTTGCAAGCTGTTATATGGTGCAAAACCAGCACAAGTGGCGATAGGTTTTGTTCCAGCATTGATATCAACTCCTGTGATGGGTGTCTAAAGATGCAGTCACAACCAACGCAAGCAGATGCAGATACAGATGCAAGTCGTGTGGAAATATGAATTGTTCGACTCGGATGAGCACAGAAAGCGTATTTGAATTACTTCAAGTACGTGTCACATTACACAAATAATTATAGAACCTGCCCTCTTTCTGCTTCTTCTCGCAGTGACACAAAGTGCCAATTTGTTTCATGCCATGTTAAGGTGTGTGTGTGTGTGTGTGTGTGTGTGTGTGTGTGTGTGTGTGTGTGTGTGTGTGCGTGTGTGTGTGTGTGTGTGTGTGTATGCGTGTGTGTGTGTATGCGTGTGTGTGCATGTGCGTGTGCATGTGCGTGTGTTTGTATGTGTATGCATGTTTGTATATTTGTGTTGGTGTGCGCATGTTTGTTTGTTTCGTCCTAGTCTGATAATGGCAGATTATGCCCATTTTAAAAATTTCCTCTATGCTTGGTGTGGCAAGCAAAACATCAAGCCGGAGTATCTATTTGAGTCTGAAGGTGATCCACATCAGCTGACATTTTATTGTGAGGTATGGTAATTTTGTCACAGACTTTGTGTTCTGCAGTTTTTGTTCCTGTAGCATATTGTAAATCAGGAATAGTTGTGCACACTTTTCATCTGATGTTTGGGACTTTACTCCCTCACATCCAGGCCCTGATTTCAGTGCAAACAGGTTTGTAGAAACTGTGTACGCTGTCCATGGCACAGTCATACATCATGGTGTTTTCTGCCTCGGCAAGATAACATTTTAGCCGCTCAGGATGAGTATGTTTCTTTGTTGGAGAGAGGAGGTGTCTGTGCTGATGAGGCCCGAAGTCCCATAGCCACATGACGAAAGGCGCACAAAAGGCGTACAAAGGATCACTTTTGTAGGTGCAACATTGAATATTGCTCTGTCACGAAATATTGAGCTTTCTTTTGCAGTGTTTTCCCCCAAGCCTTGTAGGCAATAAAGACCTGTTTAAAAACCGAGGCGCTGCCAGTGTTTTTATAAATTGTTTTTTTTTCCAAGAGATTTATTTACCAACGACAAGGGCTGGAACGGACGTGTTGTGTTCCTTCGGCCCAACCTCGCCCACCCGTTTCTCTTCAGAAAACTATATACTGTAGTCCGTTTCAAAAAGATTAGCAATCAGGTTTTGGTCTTGAAAAGTACGAAGATAAGAGAAATTCGGACAACAAAATACATAGAAGGGCTTGTTAGGGCACGGCAAATTGTTCTGTGAACAATTGGACCAGCCGTTAACCCTTTGGAGCCCGTACAGTCAAAAATGAAACGAACTTATCAAATTCATCAATCAAAGTAGCACAGTTTGAAAGGACACCTTCATTTGATTACCAAAAACAGGAGAACCGAACTTCCAAAGAAGAACCTGCCAAGAAAAAGCAGCGTGCCGAGAAAGGAGGTCGTACTCACAAGTCAACTCGCTGTGGCCCAGTCGCGGGACCGTATCTTCCCGGACACACGAGATTGGTGCACGTAATATCACAACCCTGTAGCACCCGTTACGTTTGTGCATTCCAGCTCGACTTTTCTTCACCAAAAACACCTAAGACTCTCGACTCAAAAACAAAGGTGCCCTGCCTTGCACTGGTGTTGAGCGTACGCGCGACATCAGAAGATCCGACTACGTTCGACCAAGACCCTATGCAGATCTGAATCAGGTGTTGCACACTCTGGTGGTTACGTACTCTTGATAAAAGTCATAATAACTCGGGCTCATCTAATAATCTATACATACCGTAAAAGCTCGTGTATACGCCCACTCGAAATAACGCCCACCTTCCGTGTACACGCGCAGTCAGGGGAAGTCAACTCTTTTGTTTCAAAATAGCGCCCATGCCCATGTATACGCCCAGGTTTGCCGGCAACACCAGTACATATACAGGTACCGATACCCAATACTTACTGCGGTGTTGATGGATGTGTTTCAGGATCGCTTTTCCCAACCAGAACACTGTTTCTGGTTCATTCAAGCGAGTATACAGTATTTATAGTGTGCATGCTCAGCTAAAAAAATGAAATGGATACAGTTTTTGAGCAAGGGAAGAATGTCAACATATACAGTAGGTATCGGTTATAGCGTGGGTGTTCGAAAAACGACTTTCTATTCTTATTTCCGATATTTCTTACACATGATACATCAAGTGTGACATATCATATGCATGTGCGCAGGGGCAGGAAGATCATCGTACGTGCAGCGTAATGCTACTGTGCATGCGGCTGGTCAGACTCATAGTCCCATAGGCTTACCATGTGGCTATCCAACATGAGTTACATGACCACAACAGTTGAACCTGCAGCACTACGACGCAACGCGAGTCAGATCAGAACTGCATGGGACAGATGTTATTACGACAGGCGATACACTTTGTACTAACCTGGCATGTTTCGCTACACAAAGTCCATTCTTAGGACCGATATATTCTACTATGCGATAAATTGCTTGTAAGAATAAAAGTGCACTTGAAACTAGGGGTGAAACGGTTCGGGTAAGGAACCGGTTTTGGAACCGCCAGCTGAAAAGAATCGGGTACCCGTTCCGTCAAATTTTGAACCGAAACTCGAAAAATCTCGTTCTTGTACAAATACATGTACACATCAAGGCTACTCAAGATTTTAAATGTCTTACCTTACGATCCCCACTCTTCCAAAGAGTTCTCTGGTCATTATCTTCTTCACAATTGGACTCTCCGATGTCTCATTCTTGCTCGTAAAAATGTTTTTTCTAAAAAATAATTGTCGCGAACGCATTTTGTAGGTCTGGAGAAAAAAGTGCATGGAACCGATACCTGAACCGTGGGAAACAATGCTGGCATTTGGGCACCCGAACATGAAAAACATGGAACCGTTTCACCCCTACTTGAAACCCATGTTATGATTATGAAAACATGAGAGTTCATTCTTGTAGGCGGTATATTCTTTTACACAACCACGCTATAACCGATACGCACTGTATATATTCCAAGTATAAGCCCGGTTCCAAAATAATGCCCATGCCCTTGTATACGCCCAGGAAATCAAGGCTGCTTTTCTATATGCCCGGGGCCTATACACGGGCTTTTACAGTATTAGATAATGGTTCGTGCTCCTTCAGTGAATAACACATGATAGGAATGCTGATTTGTGTTTTCTTTCTGTTCCACGTATCCAGCTGAGGCTCAATGGGTTTGATTACGTAAGTTGTGGAGAGGCAAAGAACAAAAAAGAGGCCCAGGGCCTTGCTGCGAAACAGTTTCTGGAGTACCTTGTGCAAGGAGGTCAGGTTTGCGCTGATGCACTAAGTGCTGATGATGTAAGTTACACCCTTCCTGTGACCCTGCTCTTGCCCTATTTCCTTTCCTGACTTGAGCCTTCACCTAACTTAGAGTATAGTGTTGGTTAGGAAAGCAGTCCCTGCTGCTGCTGCTGTTGCTGCTGCTGCTGCTGCTGCTGCTGCTGCTGCTGCTGCTGCTGTTGTTGTTGTTGTTGTTGTTGTTGTTGTTGTTGTTGTTGTTGTTGTTGTTGTTGTTGTTGTCAACTTGGGAACTCAACCAACTACTAGTGAAACGTGGTTTCAGTGACCACCCATTTGACGAGTCTATCATGGCGTTTTAATGTAGATGGTCTCTGAAACTAAGTTATCCCCATGTACTTCCACTTATTTCTTGCCAAAGAACGATGGTCTTATAGGTAGGGCTGAAACGATTATACCGATTACTCGGTAATACTCGTTAGAAAGATATCGAACGAGTATTTTAGTTGCTAACGGCTTATCGGCTTGAAAAAGTACAAATTTTGACGACGAGAGGTATTATTTATACCGTGTATGCATCCATTGGTCGCGTCGAGAAGCATTGTGACGTATGACAGTACACCTGATACACTGCGCGGCGTGGAGCTTGCAGTGCAGGTCAACAGACTCAGTTCACGCGCATCATGCAGTATACTGTATGCTGTGCCGGTGGCTGTAGCAGCAAGAAAAATGTTTCGCTTGAAATGAGAATGAACATGATGGATTCACCTTTTGAAAAGTGTAGTTTTTCCTTACTAGTGGGCTCTTCTTTTCTCGAACACTCGCCTTTGCCAAGGTGTTCTCCAGCGAACCGAGGACTGGATTGTGGATGATTTTTGAGCGTGGTGTGGAGAAACATACTTCTGTTCGAGCGGAGAAAAACACGTTCTACTGGCAGAGCAGGATGTGCTATCTCTTCGCTCACCTCGCGTTGGAAAACCCATCGATATTCCAACTCGGGCACCCTGCAGGCGCGGCTACTGAATCGGACTAGAGAAGTTCAACTTTTGCAGATTCGGACAAGCGCTGCAACGAGTTGGGTTTACTTGGCAACTCCACCAGTCGCCCATGTTTGATCGCACGGGACTGAGAAACTCGCCGACCTGAATCTTGACTGGGTAGTGGCAGTTGATCATTGCAACTCGAAAGAAGACACTGTATTGCTGTAACTCAGAGTTTCACGCACGGGCGATCACCAGCTTCATAGCACGGTTGGCTAGTGCTAGCTGATGAAACTCAAGAGTTGCAGAAATTTTATTGACCTTCCCCCTCTACAAAAAGTCTAAGTACACGATGCCCTACACCCAGGTGCACAGAGCACTCACTCGAGCTACCACAATCGTGTAGAATTTATATTCACATAATCCCATAATCCAATTTTTTTAAACTGATCCCGTGTCGTGATTGTGTTGATTCTGCCATATGGAATGAAAATATGTCGCTAAGCCGATAAGCCGATCGTTATGATAATTATCAGCTAAGCCACTAAGGAAATATCACGATCGATTCAGCCCTACTTATAGGTGGTTGGTGAAACCAGGGGTTGCTTAAAACCCTTTGTGAGGACTGCTAAATGTATGTTGTAGTAGTTGAATTTGACCTCAACTCGCGTCAAATTAATGTCCATGACAGTACATGCCACAAAGGGTTAAGCAGGTTTCACCTATAATGTCATCTGCGCCAAAGACTGGGTTACTGTGTTCATTCGGCAACTGAGGTTACAGTCCATTCATGAAAAGATTATATTCTAGCTTTTGGCCATAAATGGGTCAAATTTTGAGTTTTTTCGCAATTTTTTGGCAATCCCCGATGGAATCCTCTTCCAATTGTGATTCTGAAGGCTATTTCTCCAAAAAGAAAGCCATAACAAGAATAGGATATCGGCCAGGTTTTGCCCCCAAAGCACTGAATTGGGGAAAAACCATGAAGCCCGTTCACACCACTTGCATAACTGTAATTAACAGTACATTGTGTGGTTCGAACCCCAGTACGAGGTGAATTGCTATTTCTGGACATTGTACATTTCTGGACATTTCGAGTAAAATAATTTTTTGTCGCGTGTAGAGTCAAGTCAGTCAGGTTGATGAAGTTTTTTCTTGTTGTAGTTGACAGCTGGGCTGTTGTGGTTTCTCCTCTTGTCGGTGCCTTGTTGATAGCCTTTCCTTGGGAGGCATTTCAACGAGTTTTGTGGTACTATGTCGCATGAGAATTTTGAGTAAAATAAGAAGTAATGGACGAATCGTTGGCTTCCCCATGTGCACTCCACTTCAGACGCTGTATAGTCTTGGACCTGTTGGCTGGAAGTGTGAAGAAGCCAACTGCAGTCCACCAATAGAAAAATAACAAAAATGGTGCAGTATAGGATGCCTATTGACGCTATTTTACTTTCATGTCCAGAATTCCATACACTGAAATTTAGGCCAAAAAATTGGCCTGTCGAAAACATCCTGCTATAAAGTCTCTGGGATCACAGCATGAGCAATTGTCACGTATTTGGAAAGATGAAGGATTAGGCCATACAATAGATACAAAAAGATATGAAAAATGTAAAACACACAGCCAGTGGGCCTCTATTTTATTTTCATGTCCAGAAATTGCTATTCACCTCGTAGAGGTACCTTTTTGGACCCTTTTTCAAGTAACAGTTAGTTTCAAGTCTTGCGGCACTTCACCGTGTACCACAAAATCATGAAAAATCACCAAATAAAGGAGCTCGGCAGAGCCAGCGCTCATCCTTTTCTGAATGGACTGTGGTGGGTCTGTTTACTGGTTAATTTACCCTATTTTTCAGGTATACAATGGCTCAGGCATAGTTGACATGGGTGTTGATGGGGACGTAATAAACTGCATGTCCCCGAGAGAAGCAAGGGAAGGACATGTTTGACCACATTGCAAGCATCGGCTCTAGGACTATGACAACTAAAACTGTCAAGGTTCTTTCTTTTCTCTGTTCCGTCTTCTGAACACATACACGGGATATGTACTTGATGCACACGATCGATGCTCACGCGGGGTCATGCGACTCACGTGCACCATACCCGCGCTAGCACCACACTTTCTCCACATGCCTTCTGCGAGCCCTGGGATTATTACCAAGATGCAATGTTGGTGAAAAGCGAACACAAAACTGTCTGGAGAAATCACACCTTGATATTTTGGTGCTGTCATTGTATCCTGCTTTATCCTACCTTGATTGCTACATTATTTTATTTAGAATAGTATGCTTTTGTATGTTTATGGCTCAGGGCAGAGCACTGTTGCAAAGTCATCCACAGCAGCAGCAGCAGCAGCAACATCGACATGGTGGGCTGCCGCCTCCAGCTCCTGCACAGAGGTATTCTGACCAACCAGCTCCTTCAGACCAGAAGCACTATGATGATCAGGCACTTACTAGCGGGCGGCAGGGTAATCATCATGGAGGCAATGTAGCCACAGCACATGTACATAGTGGCTACAGTCAGGGCCAGCAAGGAGGTGGTCATCCTGAACCAGCAGCTAAGCGCCCATATTTAGGTGGAGCTTCTGTTCAGTTTCCATCCGGCACCCGTATACCACAGCCCATCGCTACATCAATGGCGCCTCCTGTGTCAACCAAGAGAGATGGTAAGCCTGGGACCTGTTTTTAGATTTGCTTTTGTCGATGAGTGCAAAAACGGGGAGTATCCCATCTCAAGCAAGTAAAACTTGAGCTCCTCATCGTGATCGACAGTCAGAGAACAGTTTTATACTTCACTTGTAATTTCTCCTTCAAGGCTCCTATCGTTCTTTCTGCTATTTAGTCAGTGGATACCTAGGCATGATGTCGAGCTATTGCTGCAAATTTGTGAGCAAGAAATTCGCTTCGCAGCTCGATTTCTCTCCGGAATATTTTGTTCGCGGAAAAAATGACCAGGGAGAACAGAGCCAAGCGTTTCCATGACTGTACAACACCAAGAACCAAAACCTTCTCTCAGCCCATTTCGGCAGAGACTAATGTGGGTGCACAGATTGCAGTAAGTTCTGATTCTCAAGTGGCGAAATTAAATTTCACGGTTTGTGTGAGACTCAGCTGAAGGCCGAGTTTTCCGCATCCATAGGAATGCCGCCACCCTAAAGGATTTAAGGCGCGGATGCAGCTCCTAAAGTGGTGGGAGGTGAGTAGATCAATCCTTCCACTTCCAAGCAGGACTTGAATATGGTACCCTCTGTTTCTCAATCATGGTCTTAGACCATCCCACTATGCCTGCATGCGAAACATACTTATACGTGTACACTGAAAACATTGCAGTCTAGAGTGAGTGGCAAATCAGTGGTGAACTACTGCTACTTGTTGGGATGTTCTTTATTTTATTTTATTTATTTTTACGAAAGCTGCAACTCTTCAGCTGCCAACATCATGTAATTCCTAACCTGCGTCCGTTTGAATCCATATGCATACTCTGAAGCTCTGAAAAAATTCGGAGTGTGCTATTCTCATAATTATTGTCATGCTGCGAAGTATTTGTAAATGTCGTATACAACACCTCTAATTATTATTCCTACAGTACCCGTACTAGTCCTATGAAGGCTATGATATTAATATAATATCATAAAAAAGCGTACAGTCAACTTCGCTAATAACGACTGCGGATATAACGACAATTCGCGAATAACGACAGAATTTCCAAGCCCAGAGCAAGGTCCCATCTAACTGTAATACATATAATGAGACTTCGGGTATAAGGACATTTCGCGAATAAGGACACTTTTCTGATGCCCCGCCGAGTGTCGTTATACGCGAAGTTGACTGTAGTCCTATGATGCGTACATGCACATGTACACACACACACACACATGGCATGCACGCCCGCACTCGCGTTTGTGGTCGCGCACGTTGTATGTGTGCCCGCGCTCATACACACCTCTACATGTGTGACACACGTAGTCAGGAGGTTGTGGTAGCTACTCAGTAAATTATTATTTGCATACCTTTTTAATACATGGGTGTGCACGTATATGACATATTTTGTGTGTGCAAGGTGTACTTGTTTGTGAGTGTTAGTATGTACGCGTATTTATGATTGTGGGAAACGCACACTTACGCGCACTTGCATATGCTTGTGCGAATCCCGCGTTATTGGAAGTGTACATACTTGAAGTAATATGCTATGCTTGTTAGGGGTGAGAGTTTGCAATGAGGTCCTGAGTTCGAGTACTCTGATTTTTTTCGCCTCCTACAAATCACATAATGTAACAAGCATGAAACTCAGATAATACAAGCCCCGATTGAACAGATTCGTGGTCCTTTCCTTGATTACATTTGATTGATTGGTCATTGTGGATTCCCTCTACTCCTGTACCAATGTTCACGACACAGCCTGTACATCACTAATGATTTACTATCACTATTCACTATGCCTCTGTCTGAGTCTGCCAAGTCTCTCACTACGTTCATCACGCCGTGGGGGTAGATACCGATTCTGCCAGAATCCACAAGGTCTCGTGTCCGCTGGCGATGGACACTCGTTACATGTGTGTTTCAGGATAGGTACTAGGTATGGGCCGGGGACTATAATTGTAGGATAGGTACTAGGTATGGGCCGGGGACTAGAATTGTAGGATAGGTACTAGGTATCGGCCGGGGACTAGAATTGTAGGATAGGTACTAGGTATCGGCCGGGGACTATAATTCCCAAATGGGAAAGATAACAAATAATAGGAAACAAGGGGGGGGGGGGGGGGCAGAGAAAATTTTGCATGAGGGCGGATTTTTTTATTCTTATAATTTCGGACGACCCCTTATCCTCCGAATGTGAACGAAAGTACAAGTTTGGTGTGTGTGTGTGTGTGTGTGTGTGTGTGTGTGTGTGTGTGTGTATGGCCAGAAAAAGCCACTTCATAGCTGTGTGGTGACCAGGCTGAATAGTGGTGGTCAATTCTTCAGCCTTGCAAGCTGTTGAATGGTGCAATCCCAGGACAAGTTTAGTAGGGATATCACCGTATTTTTTTCTTTCGTAGTAAACCAAGAAAACTGTTTGTTTTCGGGAAGAACTATAGTACAGGAGATAGCACAGAAAATTTGGATGAAAAATCTTGAAGGATACCATAGATATGAGGCGTCAAAGTCATACGCCAACCTTCATCATGATGTATGCGGAATGCCATACTGCTGTGGCACCAACAGGGTTTTCCGGAAAGCCTAGCAAATGCTTAGCAACATTACAATATTGTCAGAATGCTATGAAATCTGGCTTGTAGGTGCAATATAGGTGTCTCTTCGTCTGGTGAAGCCTACATATAGGCTTTGGGCATGTTGACAGGGGCGACGCACAGGCTGAAGCATTGCCATGGCAAAATATGGCCGCTGAGTGCCCACACAAACATATCTGTGCCACGTAGGCCATAAAAACTGAGAGAGAAACGCTTTTTTCACAGAAAGAACGAAGAGTATTGCCTTGCGAGTCGTGCTTTTTTCTCAAGCCTATTGAAAGGCTTTGCGAAGACTACTTCCTGCTATCAGCTGATCATGGAGGTTCCGAGTGCGGACGAGTCAGCTGGCACGAACAGCGATTTAGAGTGCGCTCCTGGGCTTGAGTCGGATGGAGAGGTGGACACCGGCAGCGGTGATGAAGTTGAGACTGAGACTGAGAATGTTCCTGCTGTGGCAGCCAGCAGCGGTGAACAGCCAGCACGAAGAGCTCGGCAAATTAATGTTGGCTGGACTGACGTTCTGCCTACAAATGAGCTGCCGACTTTTAACGGCCTTCCGGGCATCAAGGGCGACCTGACTGTGGAGCAATTGGCAGATCCTGAGTTTGTATTTTCCAAGTTCATCACTGAAGAAATGTTGAAAATTTGTGTGACCCAAACGAATTTGTATTATCACCAATGGATTGCCCGCGTAGTGCTGCAAGATATGCCACACCAACGCCCATGGAAGGATCTGACAGTGTCTGAGCTAAAGGTGTGGATTGGAATTCTACTGCACAATGCTCTACACCCGTACCCCTCCATATCCCTGTACTGGTCTTCCGACCCAAACTTTGCGAGCGAGATTGTTAAAAAGACAATGAGCCTAGTACGTTTTGAGCAAATCAAGCGGTTTATTCATCTGGCCGACAGCGGACAAGAGCCTAAGCGCGGTGCAGCAAACTATGATGTCCTCTACAAGTTGCGGCCTTGGCTGGCAGGTCTACTGACCAACTCCCAGGAGATGTTTGTGCCGGGCAAATGTGTGTCAGTAGACGAAATGGACATATCCTTCAAGGGCCGGTCAGCGTTCAAGTCAAGGGTCAAGTTCAAGAGAGCTGGGGATGGATTTCTTGCCTACGCTCTGTGCGATCCAGTGACAGGCTACACCTACTCGTACCAGTTTCAGTTTGACAACAAGGTGGCCACCACTCCTGGCCTAAGCAAAACTTTCAGTGCTGTTTATCAACTGATGCGCCAGCTTCCAGGTGACGGCTATCATGTCTTTGTGGACAATCTGTACTCAAGCTGCTTGCTGGCAGAAAAGCTGCTGGAGGACAACAAACTGTACACGTGTACAGCGCGCTCAGATCGGATTCCCGACTGTGTGAAGCAGACTGTTCGCCGTGGCCAAGGAGCAGAAGAAGCACGAGGCACCGTCAAATGGGCATGCCGGCGCAATGTGGTTGCTCTAACCGTTTATGACAATAAGCCAGTTCCCATGATAACAACCGGTCATCACAAGCTAGAGGACGTGGTCTACACTAGAAAGAGAACAAGGATAAACCTCGACACTGGCCTCCCGCACACGGAGGATGTTGAGCTGAAAAAGCTCAATGTCATTCATGATTACAACTCCAACATGAATGGCGTTGATATGGCAGACCAGCTGCGAGGGTACTACAGCTGCTCGATCAAGTCCCTCAAGTGGTGGCATTCGATTCTCTTTTGGATTATTGATACTGCTGTGTGCAACGCGTACATCATTCATCGTGAAGGCATGAAAGGTCATGCCACCGCCTTGCCAACCCAGTCTCACTTGCAGTTTGTGAGTTCCCTTGCCACAAAGTTGTTGCAGGCTGAGTGCCAGGCCAAGGAGCGAGCCAGTAGCAGTGGAAGAAAGAGGCGAAGGTCATCAGACGCTGTAGCAAACCGACCAGCAGAGAGGCTTCTTGGAAAACACCTCATCCGGTCGATTCAAGAAAGCACTGCAGCCACTCCGCAGCGTGATTGTGTCCTTTGTAAAGAGCAAGGGAAACGCGCCCGCTCTAACTATGAATGTGGCACGTGTGATGTTGGTCTTCATCCGGGCTGTTTTGAAGGCTGGCATCAGTAGTACAGCTTGCTGTTCCACCTGGGATTGGCATTTTAGACCTTAGTGTACTTTGCAATCCCCGATGTTCTTCTGTATTTTTTGGTAGCAGCATCCTCCTAAGCGTTTTTGCATGTTTTGTTGGTACTGACCCTTTTGCTCTTGATTGCTGATTCAATGAAGTACTTAGCATTCGCCAATGTTCTTATGCAGATTTTGCTAGCATATTCCTCCCATGCTTTTCTGTATGTTTTGTTAGCACTGACCCTTTTGCTGTTGCTTGCTGATTCATGTTTCCTTCTGGTTTTTGAAATTGCATGATCAGTAGATAAGTAACAGGCTGCTTTAGCCAGCATGTTGGCAGAATCAACCTCGGTTGTTTGCATGAAACAAGTGTCCATGTGGAGTGTGCCTGAAGGAGCGGTGGTATTTTGTGTGTGCTCAATAACTGGGTTGCTGAAACACACTATCATACACATGCTTGGGTCAAATCCAGTCTTGAAAGTCCAACAAGAAAAGCAGCCGCAATGAAAATAAACTTTAGCGGGCTTGATGTGGAGTTTGAAACAGTTTTTTCTTGATTTTTTGAAAAGAAACCGACTTTCCAAAGCCTGTCAGGCCTCCCAAAGTCAGCTGAGTTGGCCTGAGCCTATAAATAGGCTTGAAACGCCTTTTAAATGAGCTGAAGTATGGGATTTCTTTAGAGCCTATATATAGGCTTTGTCCCACCAGACTAAGAGATAGGTGTAATATAGGTGCAATACAGGTTGGTTAGTCCTAATATTGACCAAAATATAATATTTCGGCAAGCGATGACCAATGAGAACGAGCGCGGCGCCCGTAGCAACCACCATAGCAACAATGCTAAATCCATTGAACACGAGTTCCATTACTATGAAATTGAAGTGAGCACTGATGGCTATGGTTGTATTATACATGTACAAATAATAAATACAGCAGTTTGGTCTTCAGATGCCCAACTTTACTGCGGCTGTCACACAGTTGATCAATCATGTACATGTACATTTTTCATGTAAAATGCACAATAGTGAAATATGCGTACAATCCAATCACTGACGCGATCCATGTCAGAGCACCACTCCATAGCAATTTCTTTCTGGTTTCAAGGCGACGAGTCGAATACAAAATCATAGCTCACTTTGTCGCAATAGCGAAAGTCTCCGTCAGGTGCAATCTTTCACTAGGGCCAACAAATCATCTGAAACACTCCTAGCGCTTGAACATATTGGGTCCAGAAATTCATTCCTTTTGGGCGACCAGGAGGTGAAAGTCTTGAAAGCGCGATGAAGAGCGATCCCCCAGCTCGAGAAGAAAGCACTATTCTACATAATTCGAGGTCGCTGAACACGATGGTGGGTGTTTCCTGGCCGTGTACTCCCTCCAAACGGATGAAAAATCCAATTGAAAACTACACTCCTCACAACAAAAAGCTCAAACTACAGTTGCCCAAGCAAGTGCGGCACCAAAACGAGCAGGAAGACCTCAGCTATCAAACGCACCAACTTTCAACTTTGAAAAAGAAAGCAGGACAAAGCAATTCGACAAAAACTGCAGCGAAGTCCATGGTGCCACCGCTACCATGCTAATGTACGTGACCCGCGTGAAGGCTGTTTTCAGCTGATTTGTCACGTGACTGAACTCCCTAAGTTTAGGGTTCACGGCTTGCCACTAAAAGCACCCGTCACGTGCGCCTCCATTTTGGATTATGGACGCGCGCTACAGGCCGCGACAGCGCCTATCGAAGTAAAAAAATATCGACTCGAAGTCTAGCCGGAGAGCGTACTTTTTGAATTTTTCCTTGGCTTCAGTGGCTTCACTTCACTCGGGCTTTGCATTTTTCTGACTGACCTGGACTTGATGATGGCGGCGGTGGCGGTCTTGGCGAAAGATCCAGTTCCATCTGAGACACTCTGTCGTCTTTTCTTATCTGCTGAGGTTCTGCCAAAGCGCAGCTGCATCGAACCTGACTAGATGTAGCTGCACGCATCCTTTGTTTGCCCTGCAAATCTCGATCTGTTGCTCCTCTTGCTGTTTGGCCGCTGATGCCATGGAAGAAAATATTCTTCCTGTAAAGAGGCCGAAACTGAGCTAGGGCACGTCAAGATATGTAGGGTATACAAAGAAAAAGAAATGTCATGGTCGTTTCAGCAGCTCACGACAGCCAACACGCTCCATCGTCGGGATTGGAAGTATCCAGCACGGCTGTTCCGAGCGCTGCTGCTCTTGTTATTCTTCTTCTTCAGAAATTCTCCACACCTTGTCGGCCAAAGTACGCGCGCGCGTGCACGGAAAATAGATGCGCTGAGCCGTTTCTTGTTCGATTTTGACAAATAATGGCTTGTTGTTTTGCTCTCGACCTTGGCTATCCTTCTACCGTTCAGTATTTTACGGAAACGCAACGGCTCCCCCTGTTTTTTTAGCCGAACTTTGGCCAAAGTTACTGGAAAACCAGGAACTCGTTTGAAAAAATACGAACGGTGGAAGTCTTGGAACGTCTTTCGTGCGTGTGGATTCAAAAATTCAGGCAGTTTGAGCCAACCGTAATGAATCCCGTAGAGTTGAAAGTGAGTGATATTGATGGGAAAATGCGATTTGAGCACTGACCGATTGTGTGGGACAGTATATGCACGCGCCTGTCACGTGCGTGATGTAGCTGGCGACGCTAGCATGCCAATCCGTGAACCCTAAAGTTGCTTCTGCTGTAGCATCGCTATCATTGCCTCCGGTGATGGGCGTCAAATGGTGTGTGTGTGTGCGTGTGTGTGTGTGTGTGTGTCCCATATGGTGCAGTGGTATGTGCAGTCGATTTCCAGTCGAGAGGTTGCAGGTTCAATTCCCGACAATTACGGCCGCACACGTCTTTCTTCTCTTTCTCATTCTCCTAGCTCTTCTTTCATTCTCCTGGGTGGTTACCAACAGCCAGTGTATGCCGGAGTATGTGGTGTGGCGTGCGTGTAAAAAAATTAAATAATTGAAAAAATTAAAAATAGGGATTCACTGGCCAGAAAAAGCCACTTCAATCAGCTGTGTGGTGGATACCAGGCTAAAATTAGTGGCGGTCAATTCATCAGCCTTGCAAGCTGTTGAATGGTGTAATCCCAGCACAAGTTGCTATGTCTAACATAGCTGTTCGCTATCATCGCTTCCGCGATGGGCAGGTCTGAGGTCTGAGGTGTGTGTGTATGTATGCATTTTCTTATTTCATGTCTGTCTGTTAGATGCATTGCAACAGTCTCTGGAGAAAACTTTCCAATATCAAGACGAGGTGAGATTTTCCAGACATGACAATGCATTCTGGTGTCGGTCTAGGTATTGCTGATACATGTGTACAGGAATTTATCACTACAGTCTTCTTGTGATAAGTTACGCAGAATGTCCTGCATTAGATAATGTGCCACTGACCGCGAGTGTCCAACTTGCAACATCCACCATGCACCACTTGCATAATTATCCACAGTCGTGACTTTTGCTCTTTCCACTGTGGATGCTGCACACTTTATTACACTCTGTAGAGGGGTGGCGTTTTTCCCGCAGTGGTGCACGCATAATATAGGAACGGGCTCAAAGTTATTTATTCCCGTAGCTATACAAAATATGTTACTTTAGTAGTGTCTGGCGCTAGCCAGGGTCCACACCGCTTTAATTCGTATGTCTGTGTGTGTGTGGTCAGGCCATGATCATGTGACGCGCTATCCCGTACATGTGCCGTATGCCAGTAGAAACGTCTTTGCAAAACAAAAAATGTGCCCGGATATCGTTTCCGTCAGTTCGAATAAAACACGTGATGACCTAGGTAAAAAGCAAAGTGTAGCGAGGGCTCCTGTACTTTCAAGCCCTTTCGTTTGTTGATAATTATTTTGATTCGGAAACATTGTCACAGCGAGACTATGATGTTTACTCAATGGCAAATGTTCACGTCCCTGCGAAGGTTTTTGCCATGTGGTTCTTCTTCTTATAGCAGGTGAACAGTGGTTCGCCTCTTCCTGATAAAGCACCTTTCACCAATGAAGCCACGATTGTAAAGGATGCGCACATGAGGCATATCTTATTTCTGTCTTGGCCGTGGTGAAAAAATAGCACCTAGAATTTCTGAATAAAAACTCGGATATTGAGCCAATAGTAATATGTAAAAGAGAAAAGGACCTAACAGTCCACCAAGGTAACGAGATAATATACAGTCAGATAGTGCGACAACAAGACACAAAACTGAGAAGGATATTGAGACATTCGACGACCTGACACCTAGCTCCAACATATCTACGAATCGCATTATTGTCGCACTATCTGACTGTATATTATCTCGTTACCTTGGTGGACTGTTAGTCATAACTAGTAACTTATAGGTCCTTTTCTCTTTCCATAGAATTTCTGAACTCAAATTTAAGTGGAATCACTAACTACTATTATTCCCTTTTGAAACTGCCTCTGTTACACCAAAATTTGATACGAGAAATTGGGCTGCTTTAAGGCAACGGACCAACAGACAGGAGTGGCTGGGTTCGTTCGCCTCTGGCCTCAGAATAAACTTCAATATGTCAGCTTCCACAAAATATATTTCGAGTGAACTATCCACGCTATTAAATGATCAGTTTCGGCCCACATAGTTTTTGGTGACTGGTGTATGCAATACGGGACCATATTGAATTGGGAAAAGCAGGTTCTGAGATGGTCATCTTCATCCATGTTTCTTAACCCATTCAGCGCTACTGGGCCTTGCCTATGGTACTCTGCATATAAAATGCTAAAAACAGGGCCAATAGCATGTTCTAAAACTCCAGGGTTCTGGCAACTGGGGTCCTCAAATCTTTTGGAAAGGATTGCCAAGACTATCAACCACAGGGTGACAGAATCGATACAGTCCCCAAAAAGAATAGCGCCTCACAATAGGGGACGCAAGTTTGCTCTAATTGCGTGAAATACGCCAAATGCATGAAATTGCAGCTGAAAGATCGCTGAAAAGAGAAGAAAAAAAGACGCGTAGTGTTTCCAAGCGGGATTCGAACCAACGACCTATCGTACAAGAGGGATGATCATGATCCAAATGACTAACAGGGCTTTTACACACCAGACAGTGCCAGAAATCACTATATATCTCATGACGTCTATAGACGTCATCCCGCGCATGGGGGGCATTTTCAATGACGTCTATAGACGTCATCAGCGTTCAATGGGTTAAAGTGGTGCTTTCAGTGAAAACATTCCACTATCTAGTTGAGCGCACTCATCTTATTGCGGTGGAAGTGCGTGAGTTCGATTGGGAATATAAGACCATGGGAGCTCTCGGACTAAAATCATTCAACTCAGCGCCGAAAAACTACACGTACGGCCGCACCAAAAAAATCCTTTGTTTCGGGCAACCCGACTAACCGATGTTTTGAGCGCCGACCGATTTTTTTGTATGCAGTCATACATATGCATATATTGTGCGCATCCTACGCATGTACGTGCGCGCACTTCACAGTGTGCCAGGCCGAAGGCTCTTCCTTCCTAGCTCTGGCTAGTCGTTTCAGTCCTTTGTTTTGAGTAGACTCAATCGAGTCGGATTTGTTGCAGGGCGCTTGTAGTTGCCAAGTGTAGCGTTTTCGACACCGACATGTAGTTTAGAAACTCGAGTGGCAAAACGATTCCGTCACTATAGTTGATGGCGGCCGGACCGTCGTCAACAGCTGCCTTATCACGGTGGATTGTACACTGAGCAATTTGTTGGAAAATCTTCATCCAGAAGGCATCACTCGCTTCAAAGCAGTGTTTGCTGCCTCCGTCAAAACTGGGTCAAGCCGGAACGATGCTGACATGAGTGATAATGTTGAACTTCATTTTTGAGTTCGGACGCCAATTCTTGTCTTTTACATTGGAGCAACAGGAATCTGTAGTTTCTGGCCCGCGACGATCGCTGAACGATGTGTTGGTGCTCAGCGTCTCAGAGTATGACCACGGTCCAGTTTGACTGTTCCTGGTGGTCTGATTGAGCTGTTGATTGCGATTGCTATGTACGCCTGCTTTATCAACCACGCATTTTGTATCTGGGCTGTGTACTCTACACATGTGCATACTGGTAATTACATCTGGCATGCTTAAAAAATATCAGCAAAAAAAAAGAAAGCCGGCCGACTGACCGGTATTTTCTGGCCATGTTGCCCGAAACAAAAGACTTTTTCGGTGCGGCCTATTAAATGGCATTTAGATGTTAGGCCTTACTTCCTCTGTAGCATACTGTAGCTGTGTTTTAATGTATGGTGGCTTGATGATGGCATGACTGATTGTGACATGTACACGTTCTTGTCATCCAGACTGCTACGGAGGCACAGTCACATGGTAGCTGGACTCTGGAGAATGCCAAGGGTAGGCTTTGTGCCTTTCTACAGCAGACTAAGCAGAGCAAGGAGATCAGAATCACCACAGAAGGACCTGCTCACTGCAGGTAAGAAGTTATCCTTTCTAGTTATCCGAATGCAGCCCCATGGACTGATATGTACAGTCAACCTCGTTAGAACGAACACTGAAACGGCGAACTTTCCATTACTACGACCTGGGGCCAATCCTATGGTTGGTCAGGCATCATATCAAGTCAAAGGTATTCGTTTACGACGAACTCCTGTACAGCGAATTTTCGTGGAGAAGAACTAATTTCAAGCGTGATTTGAACAAAATCAGCTCATAGTACTTGGTCCGCGTCACCAATATGGTCGCTTATCTTTCGACAATTTGAACTTAGACTTTGGACAACAACGCATGCACTTCAGGTGATAAAACCTGGTACGATGGAAGGTAAGGTAGAGAATGACAACTAGCCATGAGGAATTTATTGTCCAATGAAGGGTTCATCCTATTTTTGGTCCTCTTCGTCGCTTCAGCGCTGGCGACAAAATATTCCTGCTCGGGATCGCCTCTCTCGCTTTCGCAAGTTCATCTCTCTTCCTCTCAGCTGCCTGGCTATTTTCTAAAGGGAAGTCGATCGTCACGGTTGCCTTCTCTATAGATCTTCCCGTGGAAAGTCGAACGGCGCGAGTCATAAGGCACGGTCCGTGACGGGGTGACTTTCGGACCTAATTTCTCATTTTTCGGGTCTTCTTTTCAAATATTTTTCCTTGAAAGAAGCGGAATCAAGTTCACAATACCAGTTTTTCACGAAGACCAAAAATTAGCCCTGAAAGTTGTGGCATTCCAATAATAGCCCCAGGAAATGATAGAATAGTTCATCTGTCACGCTCCTGAACTATCCCTAAATACGATAAGTGACATGAGATCTTATCTTGCTAAAATTCAACTCAAGTTGTGCTAGCCATTCTGTGAGTTATCATGGGAAGCGCAGTGTTCGAAATGCTAAAAATTTCCAAGTACGAATCGGGAGTAGTTGGCGCACGACACCGTCTCCTGTTCACACTCGAATTGCAGCCGTTCTGTAAGCTTGCGTCCCGTCTACGGTATGAAAAGTTGAATCGATCAAACTCTTCCCGTCGCTTCCCGATCTGTACGGTAGTACGGTTGCGTTCCCGTTCCTGGTGTTGACATTGGACGCTGTCAGACAGTCCCGTCGCTTCCCGTCGATCCTTACGTCGCGTCCCGTCGCGCCCCGTCGAATGTGAACTAGGCTTAAATTATCACAAGTGTAGCCAACGCGTATAGGCGATTGGTTTGTAGGCTTGCCGCCTGCCAATCATGAGAATCATGAGATCATGAGAATCATGAGATCATGAGAATCATGAGGTTCTGAGTTCAAACCTGCGCTGGTAACAGGGAGTGTGTGTAGTGCTCTCTCAATCACGCTGATGCGGGCGGGTACCACTTTACATCCAATGGACTGTGCCAACACCCACGGTGAACTGGGTACTCACTTGCTCGGTGTGAGGGTAACAAGGATGCGGTTTATGGGGTTATAGGACCTTTACACGCCCACTTGTTGAGAGACTTATCCCCTCTCCCCTGACTCACTTGTGAGGTCTGCATTCGACACTGAGGATATATGGGCGAAGTGGTGGCCCGTCGATGCCAATGTATTTGCTTGATGTGTTCCTAAACACGTCAGGTTTTGCGGCCACGAATCCGGCTAACTTTACTTTACTTTAGAGAACGAGTCCAATACAAAAGCATAAACAGACTGTCCCGAAGTTATTTTGGGAACAAAATGTACTACTTGCTGACACTGACGTTGACGTTGACGGAACACGAATTTGTGTTTAACACGCACAAAGTCTTGTACATCATTATGCGCCGGTGTTGTGGAGTAAACAGCAGGCACGACCACAGTCACCAATCCAGCTTCAACCCTGCGCTCGCTTCAGCAGCATGTTGCTCGCGCTTGCTTTACCTCCACACGGATGGACGACCAGCGCAGAGTGACATTTTTTGATGTTTTTGTATCTGTTTTCTCTGTTTATGGCTGTTTAGGCGGTTCAAAGCTGAGCTTACAATAGATGTCCCCCGCCTTCGTCGCAGTGAGTAGTTGAACCCTTTGGAGTCCATTATTTCATTATTTTTGCTTCCTCAGAATTTGTGGTAGCCACAAAACCCACACACCTTTCCAACATAGCTTTGGTTCTACTTACCCGATTTTGAAGATCTATTGGAAAGCTCTTGGTCAGTTGATTGCACTGAGCCCAAACTCATCAAGAGCACTACTCAATGCCTGCCGCTGCAACGTACTCCAAAAGCGACTCCAGTTCCAGATCTGAGACAAAATCAGTCCTTTTCACACTGATCCTAGATTGCAACTGCTTTTTTTCTTCTTCTTTCGAATGGAAGCTTTCCTCGCCGTGGCTTCACGCCACACTGGTCTTGGCACGTGCTGCTTGCCCTGAAGCTGGGGTAAATTGATTTTTCATGCACTATTTGACTCACAGCACGCATTGCAGAAAATCCGAAAATATTCGATTGCTTGCCGCTTCCTCCAACTTCACCGGAGAGACTTGAGATTTGTTCAAAGCCATAGCGCAGAGTTTTCCCTACCACTTAGACCTTTCGATCATTGAATTCTGGTTAAGATTCGGCTGAGTTACTAGTGTGCAGAACTGCAACCGCATTATTGTGTATAGTGTGAAGTTCACCCTAAAATGAAAATTTCACAACCTGTAGCGAAAGATGCACTGGTTTTAACCCTTTGAGGCCCATAGTACGGATATATCTGTACCAGTGTACTTGCATACTTTTATAAGCGCAACCTGGCGTAACTCGGCTGTCCCTTGGACCAAATCGGACAATCGAAAGGTCTGTCGACATTTGAATTGTCTCGGCTATCGGCTCGAAAAAACCCGAAGGCGATCCGATGTCGGAGAGCGGAGTTATAAGACTCGAACTAAGTTCTCTCTGCAGAGTCAAATCGGGTGCGTGCATTTTGTACTCGTTTTGGGGGTTTTCCCCCACTCGCGGCCCATGCAGCCACAGATAGTTCATGTCATCACAAAGGCATGTTTCTCAGCTCTCATGTAAAAAAATCTGAGCCATCTGCGATACGATTTGTTGAAATGGTAAAGAATTTGAGTTGGGCGCTCACAATGCTGGCTTTGGAGCGCCGAATCGCGCTGCGGCGCTGGTTCTATGGATCCAATGATGGATAGCTAGCTATCGCTGTGTTTCTCTGGCCAAGAGCTTTCCAGAAAGCCCAAGATCACCAAAATCGGCCAAAGGACACCAAAGTTACGACCAGATAAGTAACTGGGCTCGCGTACGCAGTGCATTCCTTGAAATAATCATGGGCCCTGAAGGGTTAATATTGCATCTCGGGAGACCTGCATCGGTGGCTCCAAGACTACCTCTGCAACCGCACACTTCAAGTCCTCATCTCCGGCCAGACATCAGCCAGACGCCCAGTTAAGGCTGGGGTGCCACAGGGCAGTATCCTGGGGCCCACCTTATTCTTGGTCTACGTCAACGACCTTGAAGACCACCTCCCAATCGGCTCCAACCTTGCCTCATTCGCCGATGACACAACCATATACGCCGAAATTGCAACGCTCGCTGCTGTTCCTGACAACGCTAGAGTACTCCAGGCTGCTGTCGACCTAGTATCCAGTTGGGGCTCGGATTGGAAAGTGCAGTTCGAGCCAGCCAAATCTCAGGCCCTTACAATTTCCCACCATCGTCGGGACTGGCCAATACCCCCCATTGTCTTCAATGGAACTCCTGACGAGGAGCAGCCCTCCATCAAAGTACTCGGCGTCACGTTTGACCATCAGCTAAAATTCAGCCAGCATATCCGAACTGTTGTAGTCCGAGCAACGCAGAGACTTGGAGCCTTGCGCAAGGCATTTCACTTGCTGACTATTCCTGCCCGGCTTCGAGCCTACAAAGCCTTTGTCCGGCCGGTTATGGAGTACTGCCCAATCGTCTGGATGGGGGCAGCTCCTTCCCACTTGAATCGGCTGGACTGGGTGCAGGAGCGAGCCATCAAGGCAATACATCCGCAATGCTGGCTTCCTAGCCTCATAATTCGCCGCACCATCGCTGCCCTCTGCCTCCTGTATAAAGCCCTTTGCGATAATTCTCCCGCTCTTCTCTCGAGAATGGCTCCACCCCCGACACACCAACCCAGGACCACACGCCTCACCCGCCAGGCTGTACGACTGTCCACCGCGCATCCCCATCAGTTACAGAATGTTCTTCCTGCCAATTCCCGGAACAATGTGAGCCGAGCCTTTCCCCACTCCGTCATCCCAATTTGGAACCAGCTGCCTACCTCTATCATTCCCCACCCATTTCACCCAAAGAACATCCAAAAGTTCAAGACAGCAGCTTATCACCATCTCCTCAGAACGAACTGGAACTGGGCCACTCATAGCATACGCGAGTAAGAGGGTACAGTGTCCTACCCTGCTTGGACATACATGTAATCTCTCCTCACGGACAGTCTCCTCTTGAATTTAAAAGTCTAACAGCGTTCACATCAATATTCAACTTATTCTTTTGCTCACTGAGCAATACAATCTTTCCATTTTCTTTCGTCTGTTTTCTTTTTCAATTTAATCCTCCCCACCCAATATCCCTTTGGTGCGTCCATGGAGCTATGAAGCCGAGACCTCTGGTCGGCGGAGCTTAATGGGCCCCACCACCACACTCCATCATTCACCCCAGTGTCTGGAGATATGTGGATTTTGTAGAGAAAAAAAAAAAAAAAAATTGAAGGTCCCAGGTTGATCAGACCAGCTGTTCCAGAGTTATAGCAGCTTGACGTTTCATCTAAATTTGATGACATCATGATGACAACATTAACTTGCCCAGAGTAGGCCAGATTTGTGACATCACAGAGATAAACTTTGTATGGGAGTAGATAGGGAAAAATCTTTTTCTTTCTTTCTACAACAACCGAACTTCTTGCCAGAATTTTTTTCCAGTCAGGATACCGATAATGTGCCATATGTCCCACACCGAAGTTTGAAAAACATCCGACTTCTTTGGGACAATTTCGAGCCAAAATACTGTTATTTCCCTATCTTCTCCAATAGAGCTTTTTCAAGGTCGACGCGTCGTGCCCGCCACCGGCGCTCACCCTAAGATTGTGGTGAACAAGTCGCATTTCAAAACGCATTGTAAGATACACAAAATGTGACAGGTTCGTCTCCACCAGCGCTTGGAGCGATTCTGAAGCTTGTTCTTTTTCGCCCAAGCCATGGAAGGGCTTCCTGGCAACTGCTCTGACTCCACACGAGTGTCGGACATCAAGTGGAGCTCCATTCTAGTGCTTCTTTCACCTGCATGCATCCATTCCCATACATTCTAGTGATTCTTTCACCTGCATGCATCCATTCCCATACATTCTAGTGATTCTTTCACCTGCATGCATCCATTCCTATACAAAGTGAACGTGAACTGGGCTTTGCCTGTTCACCAGTGATTCAAGATTTCTTGCACTTGACCCCAAAAAGTGACCGTTGGTCCAACCTTGAAAAGCTCTATACAACGTCTTATCTCTCTGACGTCCCAGATCTAGGGGGCGTTCGTTTTTGATCTACAGGTTTGGGTAGAAACTACTTCTTTCGGTAGAGGTGTTCGTTTTTTGAAAAAAAATTCTACTCAAAAGGTTAGATTCTACTTTCCTCTACCGGCTCTACCGGAAAAAAGTTGGTAGAATCCGGTAGAAGTTGGTAGAGCTACGGGATTTCCAGCAAGATCAAGGATTTGTACACAACTCCATAAAAAAAAGAAACATTTCACGTACGCATCGTGTAAACTACTAGATCTGGTAGAACAGCGTTCGTACACTTGTCTCTACCATCTACCTCTATCGGTAGAGTGACTCTACTCTACTCCACCAGGTAGCTAAAAACGAACGCAGCCCTAGCCTATTCTGGGCAAGTTAATGACGTCATAATGATGTCACCAAATTTAGTTTTCCTCACAAGGTGAGAGCAAATTGTATCGCAGCTCAAAGAAACTTTTCGGTCACCAAATGAAATGGGACTTATGCCGCGCTTCAACATTTACCATGCTATTGATATGTCCTTTGTGATTCCATGATCGAGGAAGATATTTGCTTGTTGTAAGTTAGACATGGAGAGTGAGTTTGTCATTTTTCATGCTTTCGTGCAGAATATTTCTTTGATTTCAAAGCGTGCTTTTTTCCAGGAAGCTCACACAGTTAAACGGTTAACTTGCTGCATGTTCATCAGGATTGCTTATTGTTTTGAAACTCTCAATAGTATATGGCGAGAATATGCGTTAAACATGAACTCATTAGTATAATTATGACTGAGAATACTCAATGTGCGGACAGAAGTGTTTTGTCCTTTGTGGACTCATCAGCGCAGCACAGAGAAAATGAGGCCGAACCTGATAGCAATGAAAAAAAGATGAAAAATCAATTTCCCCAAAGCCGGATTTAAACCAGGCCCGAACGTTCCTTGCCAGAGTGCTCAAACTGAGAAATACAGGTCACACTACTGGTACAACACAAGTCTGTAGTCTTAGTAAAACAATACAAGGCTGTAGTCTTAGTAAAACAATACAAAACTGTAGTCTTAGTAAAACAATACAAAACTGTAGTCTTAGTAAAACAATACAAAACTGTAGTCGTAGTGACACAATGCAAGACTGTAGTCGTAGTTTTCGGCTTTCATGGCTCATCAAGTGACATAAACAATGTATTCCGGTTTTGCAACGGCTTAGATGTGGAGTTGCAAGCTGCACGTGGTATACTTCACTACAATCGTGTGAGATGTCGAACCTGTATCATTGTTAGCAGCCACCTACAAATATGTAAAAAGTTTAATCACAGAGAATCACATGACAAACTCTAGCTTTATTGCTTAGGAAAAGCAGTCAAAATTGGGCAATGGCTCCATCATCCCCACAGTATGTCAATATACTGACAGCTGAACAAAATGCCATGCAAGGGAGTGCTAGGGGATTTGTGACACTGAAAGTATGAATGAATGCCGTGTGCCTGGCTGTTGCTTACACCTGCTGTCGCCACCACTCGCTCGCACTGTTGTTAATAGTGCTAGTACTGGTTATGGTGCTGCTGCTACTACTGTGCAGTGCATATGTGTCATGAGTGATGTCACTTTCATCTTCTACTCTTGTGTATTGTGCCCTCCACCAGCCATCAGTGCCTGTGAACTAGCCAACAGTAAGAAACAGGCTGGAAATTCCTGTGCCTTGTCCCTTGTTCGTCAGCTTTTTCACATGGGTGCTATTGATAGCAGTAAAGCGCCAGTGAAAAAGCTTTGTGATCAGGTATGTGCAGCTGGTATGGCATTTTACGGTTGTGCTACATATGAAATACAATATTGGTTTCCCGTACGTCGGTGCCAGCATGGATTCCATTGCTTTTTGCGTGCGTTTCCCATTTTAAGGGAGCATCTCAGAAATTCGCATTTTGTTTGTAAACGTAACGCATTTCGAATGGACTCTACCCCTCCCCCCCCCCCCCCTCTATTCGAAGGTCTTATCACACATTTTCTGTGTACTACATATACCTGCCACTGACATACCTTGCAATCCATGGTATACATGTACATATACCAGTGGCATACCCGGGGGGGGGGGGGGGGGGGGGTGCTTTGGGTGCTCAAGCACCCCCCTCAAAGTCTTGACATTCATGTAGGCCAACTTGATGTACCCATGCCACGAAAAGTACCATAACTTTGTGACCGATTTTCCGATTTACGCAAATGACAGCCCATTGGAAAGGTCTTGAGCGAGGCTATTCATTGAGATGTGATTGAATTTGATATTTTAGAAAACTGTATTGTGCCCAAACTCTGAAAGAAGAAATGGGAATATTCATGAACCAGACTTTTGAACGCATTTTTGGTGGCAATTATCAGATTTTTATAACTGATTTTTTGCTTTCCGCTCGCTGTCACCACTACTACTGGTAGTTGATCATAGTTCACCGTGTTGCATATACTTCCATGTGCCGGGGCAGAGAGTTATCCATACTGTCAAGGCCTTGCCTTTTCTATTCCGATTTCCGGGAACACTCCGATCTGTTGTTCCGACAAACCGACCGAAAACGATTGTTCACGAAAGTGAACTAATCTGTTGTTTCGGGCCCTTGAAATCCCGAAAATATTACGGCTTCTAAAGGGGTCGCTGCCTCCTCGACTCCCTGCCATTGAACACCTCAGAATATCTGAGGAATGATGCTCGGACCATGTGACCACTGGTGGTCGTTGTCATCAATTGATGGCTACTTCACTTGTCAACATACTGTAACGCATGCACAAGGAGTTTATGAATATTGCCAGCAAGGGTCGTATTTACGGCTATTTCCTAAAAACATGTCAAAATTGTGGTCAGAAGACTCCTTTTGAATCTCTTTCTATAGTCTGTAAAATGGTGGTCAGCATACGCCAGACATCACACGCTCTATCTAGCTGCAACCAGTTTTGTCACATCTTGCAACGGTAGCAGCAGCAGTGTTTGCAGCTAGGTAGAGCATGTGATGTTCAGGTGTGATGACCGCCAATTTACAGACTGAAAATGGCAGAAAGGTTGTAATATTGTCGATCTACTTCGAGTAGAAATCAATGATACAGATCATATTCAGTTATGTGGAGGTTCGAGGGTGGTATATTTAGAACACTTTAGGATCGAAATGTTTTCTCTGGAGTTTATGAAATTGAAATATTTCTTTGTTTCCCATCCTCGTGCAGATGAAGCCAACAGTTGTTGATATTCCAGCTGAGCTTCAAGCTGATATTCGCGATCATTTAGCTCAGTTGAACTTTCCCATAGCTACACCAGTAAGTTATAATATAGAAGCCTTGCTTGATAGTTTAACATGTTTTCGATGAGCGCTGTGCGTCGTCCTCGCCTTGTAACATGATGAGCACTGTGCGTCGTCCTCGCCTTGTAACTTGTAACATTTGTAACATTTGTAACATGCCGTTTAAACCAGTAAGTTAGGTAGGTGAAATTGAGAGGCAAACTAGCCAACAAAAAATGCTCTCTTTTCCTCTGGTTGTAGCTGCGACTCAGTGAAAGTATGCTGATATCTATTTTGAAGGAAACTTCTGCGATGGCCCAGTTGCGACAGTTGCGTGAGCTGCGAGATGGATGCGATATGGGGATTTTCCGGTTTCGCGGCCGTCGCATCGCACATTGCAAAAATGCTTCTGTGAATCCCGCTTTAGGCTGTATTTACATGAGAGTTTTCAAACTGTTGCAGTTTCGTAACTCTGAGTTTCGCGAATTGATCGATCATCTGATGGATATTGATATTTTCACTGCCCCGAGAATACTGCTATATGCTATGATTGTGGCAACATCGCCCTACATACATGACAATTGTTACGCTGAACTTGCCACATTCATGATAATAATATAGAAGTGCTCTCAGGGCAGGGACAATATCAATAATTGCTCCAAAACATCTTAGCTCGCGCTTCCTACCGACTGACTTGACACTTGACTCACTCAGGACTGTGTCTGGAACACACGAGAAGTCCATCGAACCTTCCACTTGGCAAACCTCCAAGAAAAAAAGCTCAACTCCCTGCTCAATACAATCATAGTGTTTCGAGGAATTCACCCCTCATCAGTTGAACTTGAGCAGGCTACAGTCCATTCATAAGAAGATGAGCGCTGGCTATGGTGAGCTCCCGTATTTGGTGATTTTTCGTGATTTTGTCGTACACCGTGAAGTGCCGCGGAATTTGAAACTTAAAAATGGTCCGAAAAAGGTACCTCAACTAGAGTTTGAACCGCACAATGTACTGTTGCAAGTGGATTGAAATGGCATGGATTTTCATGTTTTTCCCAATTCAGTGCTTTTGGGGAAAACCTGGCCGAAATCCTATTCTTGTTATGGCTTACTTTTTGAAGAATTAGACTTCAGAAACATAATTGGAAGAGCATCCCTTGGGGGATTGCAAAAGCAATTATGAAAAAACTCAAAATTTGACCCTTTATGGCCAAACGCTAGGATATCATCTTTTTATGAATGGACTGTAGTGAAATTTGTGCTCTGAGAGCACTGCACTATGTTGTGCTCTCCGAGCCGAAACATCACTAGGGATACCAACTTACAGTGACGCTCTGTTTCCAGCATGATCAACACCTCGTGAGCATCAGGCAGCAGCGTGAGTCAGTGTCTCACATGGAGTTGTGAGAGCAGACGCTGAGGACCCTTTCCCATTCGCAACACTGTCGCCTCCAACCATCTAGTCGCGTTCCCGTGCGAGGGACAACAGTTCGAACTAAGATGCCGAGAAGTACTTCATTTAGGAGTACATGTATCAATGTAATTGAAGGAAGAAGGAAAAAATTGCCCATATTGGTATTCCAGCCCACAAACCTTGATTTGGGAAAGAAAACAGAAAAGGGTCACCTAAAGTCGTTTTCAAAACTCACAACCTTCGGTTTTTTGCCGAAATGGTGATATATGTACATGTAATTGGTAACTGTCGCGAACTGCTGTCTACCAAAGAAGGCAATGAAAGTGCTGTGGAAATGTTAATTGGAAAGAGCCTGAAGTCTGTGTTGTTCATTGGTCTCATTGCATTTTGTCGTCAAGAAAATTATTCTTTTCCATTCATGTTTCCTTCATAGACAGCTGATGGTGAAGTAACTCGTATCATTGCGCCAGAAAGCAGCATGGGAGCACCACGTGGTGACAGAGATGGTGTCGTGATATGGGAGCCACCTACCATCGGCTTTAATCCCTGGACTGGACGTCAAGATGAAAGTTTACAAGAGAAGTTGGCCATGTCAACGCCAGTACGTATATAGGCTTAGCTTTCACCCCCCCCCCCCCACACACACCCTCATATTCTCTATTCTCCTTTCTTCACGTTCATGCGTGCAGCCTTCACGAAAGCCGTGATGGGCTGCTCATCTTTCCCTGCCTTATGTTTGGGTCCCTATGATCAATCCTATAATCAATCCTACTGCTACTTAAAGGGGAAGTTTGTATGGGAGTAGATGGGGAAAAACCAGTTTCTTTCTCGTTTCTCTGAAACAATGATTTTCATACCAGAATGTTTTCCAGGCGGGGTACCGGTAGGGTGTCATATGTCCCATACCGAAGTTTGAAAAAGATCCGACTTCTTTGGGACAATGGAGAGCCGAAATGCTGAAATTTCCCCATCTACTCCCATACAAAGTCTATCTCTCTGACGTCATAAATCCGGCCTAGTCTGGGCAACTTAATGACGTCATCATGATGTCACCAAATTTAGTGCAAACTTCAAGCTGGTATAAATCGGGAACGGCTGCTCCGATCAACCTGGGACCTTCACCGTTGGAATCAGTGCATTTTTCGCTACAGGTTGTGAAGTTTTCATTTTAGGGTGAACTTCCCCTGTTAAAGGGGCACTCCGGTTATTTTTTTGGTAGTGTGTTCTCTTCATGGGGGCTTCGGATGGCCCCCAAGGAATGGGGAATCGCGAAAACTAGACCTAAAAAGTCGATATATGAAGCCAGGGAGGGCTAAGTTTGTCTCCTCCGCGGACGGTTTTGATGACGTCACGTGTGACTAGGAGCTCAATCGCGCTCCCGGAGCTTGAATGGGAACACTGCTGAAACTGTCGAGGTGAAGCGCTGCAGGGTAGTTGTCAAGTTTGTTTCTTTCATGTCGTCGATGTGCCAGCTTCAGATTTCCTGTCTGTCATGCGGAGGTGCTGTGCTCCCGGCTGTTCAAACGATCCGAAGGATGAGGCATGCACACATTTCATGTGGTTTACGTTTCCCCACGACGCTGAGTTGCGTCTTTCGTGTGTCAAAATCATGGGCAGAGCAGCTCGAGTCGCCGGTGGGAAAACGCACAAGCTCTTTGAGCCAATAAAGTGGGATCGTTTGTGTTCAGCCCACTTTGAACCGACCTGCTTTCAACGCGATCTGATGAGCGAATTTGTGGCTAGCGGAGCGATGAGCAGCCAGTCAGGAAAAAAGCGAGCTCGTCGCGTGGAGGGTGCAGTGCCAACGTTATTTTCGAGTTCAGGCGTGTCTGCAAAGTCTAGTTCCACACCGAAAACAACACCTCGAAAGGAATCACTTTACCTCAAGCGAAAACGCGAGCAGGAGGAGGGATCGGACGAGGAGCTGGTAAGTGTTTAGACAAGCTGACGGGAAGTCGGGGTGATGCGTAATGCATGTCAAAGCGCTGTCAATGCTGACAGCTCCGTCGCTCTCTCGACAGCAAAGGCAATCGACTGCCCTCTGCATCACTCCGCATTTCTGGCAGGAACACCAATCGTCTTCATTGTCGACCAGTGAAGTCGTCTCCTCCAATCTCCTGGCCTTCATCACGCTGCACTTCTACCAGGGGCACCTGAGGAGGCCCCTCAGGTTCCTTGGAGTATGGCCGCAGTTGTCAAGCTTGGGAATGTCGACCAAACATCGTTCTTCATCACCAGAAAATTCAAACAACTAACACCTTCAAATGCAGGGAATTTGAATACTAATCACACGTGACGTCATCAAAACCCTCCGCGGAGGAGACAAACTTGGCCCTCCCAGGCTTCATATATCGACTTTTTGGGTCTAGTTTTTGCGATTCCCCATTCCTTGGAGACCATATGAGGCCCCCATGAAGAGAACACACTACTGAAAAAATTCCCGGAGTGCCCCTTTAATGGATGTAACTTATTTTTCCTCTGCCCCTGGAATCAATCCAACTGCTTCTGAGCCCTTTGGTGTCCATCACTCAAAAGCCACAGGCCTATTCAGCCGCTTCTGACTACAGAATCTTGGAGATACTAGATGGTCCTTAGAATTTGGTGTGCAAGAAAAACCAGCTTTCTGCGATGGATACAAGTCAAGTTTGAATGGTACGAGGAATATGTTAGAAGAACTCAAGTGGATACTCTGTGATGCAGCGACCGGTACATGCCCGAAGGCAGGGGGCCATACCAAGATCTGTATCCCTCCTGTCACTATCTTTCCAACGAGCGCCCATCCTGAAATTAGGGTTAGACCACCGCCATAGGCTGCTAGGTCATGTCCCAATTCCCAACAAGTGGTCTGAATAAAGTTATCTGCTAAAACTCACTTAGGGAAGTATTCAAATCTTGAACTTTTCAGCGACTCTACACTCGCAGAACCCAACCCTATGGTAAGGAAGCTTACATGGAGTGCCGCGACATGCCTTTGCACTAAGCTTCCGGCCCCAAAATTACTTGGGAATAATCCCTGCCCTCACAGAAACTTGAATGAAGCCACCACGAAACACCACTTGCTGAACAACAGTGCCACCTGACAAGAAAGAAGATCTAGCGACAGCAACAAATCAGCAAGGAATGCAACAGTCACTCAAGCTCCCCGGGAAATTCCTGCTGTACTGGGCAGCTCAAGCCCATGAGTGTCACATGCATCATGAGGTACTAGTAGAAAATCGTGACCGAATAGTTGCACTTTTGAGGATTTCTATTATGTTTAAATGCATGAGGTAAATCATGCATCCACACGCGTGCTCATAGCAACCTGAACTAAAAGTTGAATTTTTGGTGTGAATGTGAGGCGCATGAGAAACTGGAGTGCCCAAGCTGCACAGTACACCAGGAATTAGCTTGGCTTAGCCTATTTTAGTTTAGTGAAAAGGCGTATGGCACTTCCCTATTTTGATAGCTCCCCTCCCCCCTCTTTTTGTTTCTTTTTATGTGTTCTTATGCAGGATCTTGTTGGTCAAGCGCTCAGTGATGATCTTTATCAACGCCAACAGCAAGCACAAGCTTCAGACCCAGCTTTGCAGGAGGTATACTAGATCTATCACGACAACGCCCACCTAAATTGCTGTTTGGAAAATGCTAAAAGAGAGAAAGGGGAATTCGATACTATATCTGTGTCTATATTATTACCTTTAAGGGAATGAAGACCGGTCAGGTGGACGCACCCATTCCTAAACTGGCTAAAGACACTGCGAATCCTAACCAGTAACTTTTTTCTTTCTTTTTTACAACGCTTCAGCACTTGGCCATGTGAGCGAGTTAGTTTTCCAAGTCATGAACACTACCTCTGTACATGACTAATGATTACTCAATCTGCGGACAGAACTGTTTCATCCTTTGTGGACTCGTCAGTGACTAATGATTATGTAGTTTTTGATGTCAAGAAAAATCTGCCGTATATCAAAGCGAGTAGAGCTGCTGCTTTGTGGACTCTTGCTATTACTAGTATGCATTAGTAGTCATGTCACCACACGGACATACTAGTGTGCGTAGCTCTTGAAATTATTGTCTGTGTGCATGTATTCTCATTTTGTCTTCTCTACAGCGGATTAGTAAGCGTCAAGAACTACCTATTGCCAATGTAGCCGTTGACATTCTGCAGGCCATACGTTCAAACCGTGTCGTCATTGTGCGAGGTGCAACTGGCTGTGGTAAAACAACGCAGGTATATCAGTTTTCAGGGGGTGCTGCTGTCTCTTTTGTTTTAACAACATACATAGTAATTTATGATGCAGTTGCGTGATGTCCACCACTTTCTCAGTCAACATACATACTGTTATGTTTTCTTAAAAGGAAACACAACTATTGTCATGCAGGTTCTCACACGCAACGGGAACACTTCGTGGTAGTAAAATAGATATTTCGCAAACAACAAAAAACAACCCTTTCTCTTCGAAGAACCGAACTTGCCGAGCCTCATCGAAAACAAACAAACTCTGAAAAACCCCTACATTACACTAGTACGGGATTCAGCGCAGAGCAAAAAATAATCATGAGTCATTATACAATGCATGCAGTGTAGCCGTGAAAACTGGTGAATAAAGAATGCAGTAGGTTGGCAGCACGTGACCCGTCGTACCGCAGTACGCGACGGCGTCGCGGCTTAGAAATGAAAGGAAACACTGCGAGAAAAGACAAAACGAAAATACATGTCCCTTTGTCAAAACTTAGAAGAAACAAACAAAATGCGACCAAGAATCATTTTGAGAGTCAACGTCAATACTCTTGTGCAGTTGTGCAAATTCTTGTCTTGCACTGTGCAACACAAGAAACAAACAACCTACGAAATAACTCGTGAACTAACTGTAGGCTAAATCACTACATGTACGCGAAATTGCGTTCCAAAATAAACTGAATTTCTGAGACATTTCATATTTCACATCCTGAGGGAAATATTGAATAAATAGTAAATACATCCTAAAAAAACACATGGCCACGACGGCCTTCCCAACATACCCCCCTCCTTGATACATCCGTATCAAAGAATGAGTAAAATGAGAAAAGAGATCGAACTGACTAAAGATGGCGATAAGTCCATCTAAAACGTGCGTACGGACTGTCAGCCTTTCACAACCGGACATAGCCGTACAACTGACCTAGTTACCTGCTTGCCTCCGACCTGGAGCTTAGCGACACGCACTCTGCCGTCAGAACCAGGGTAGACCTCCAACACCCGTCCAAGAGGCCACCTGCCACGGGGGGTATCAGCTGACACAACGAGGACGATGTCACCGACACTGAGATCCGGGTACTTTTTCCACCACTTGGACATCCATGCTGTCACTCCAGAACACGACATTCTCCATTGCAATGGCGGTGTCTTGGCTACGGACACACCAAGACGACATCCGATGACTGCTCCCATTAGCTCGAGTCAGGGGATGCTAACAGCTGATAACGGCGCCACTTTGGCTCAAGCCATGACGAATCTACTGGACCTCGTACCATCCTGGTACACATGACAGAGATAAGCGACTGCTCCATATGCATCTTGCGAGGCATCGCAGAATACCTGTAGCTGAGTCTCCACCACCTCTTCATCGCGTTGAAGACACCGGTGAACTCGGACATCCTGGAGTGCATCCATGTCGGCACACCACTTTTGCGCCTCTGCGCCTAGCTCTGGCGGCAGAGAGTCGTCCCAGTCAGCACCTGCTAGCCACATCTTCTGGAACAACATCCAACCAACTATGGTGAATGGCAGTACGAATCCGATCGGATCAAACAATGTGGCTAGGTTCTTCAAGAAAGCTCTCTTGGTGACAATGTCTGATGGCGGCTTGACATGAATCAGGAACTCGTCTTCCTCTGCTCGCCACTTAACTCCGAGAGTCTTGGTCGTCGGCAGGATTCCATTAGCGAGGTCCACTTCCTTGGCTCGGTCCTCCTCGGGGACTTCGGCGAGCACCTCAACATTGTTGGAAATCCATTTTCGCACATGCATTCCAGCGAGACCCCACAGCGCCATAAGCTCGTGGTACAGCTGAATCGCTAGCTCTGTTGACTTTGTCGAGTCCATTGAATCGTCCATGTACGTGGACTTCAACACGGTTTCTGCTGCCATAGGAAACTCCTCCTGGTTCCGCCGCGCATGCTCTTGCGAGACCAGTTGAGCTAAGAATGGAGATGTATTGATCCCGAACACCACTCTATTGTACTGGTAAACGGCCGGTTGGTCCTCCGTATCTTCTCGCCAAAGAAATCGATGGAACTGTCGGTCATCCTCTTCCAACTCGATTTGTAGATACATCTCTGCCACGTCGGCTACCAGTGCGTTTGGGTGTCGCCGAAACCGCAGGAGAACGTCGGTGAGGTCCCGTTGTAGTTTGGGCCCAGTGCTGATGTAGTCATTCAGACACTTGCCTTTCGTCTTTGCTGCTGCATCAAAGACCACACGCACCTTTGTGGATGTAGCCCCAGGTCGTACAACAGCAAAGTGCGGCAGATACCAGCCGTCGCCATCACTTGCGTTGCTGATCTTGCTGATATACCCTTGTTCTAAGTGACGGCGAATCACGGTTCGGTATTCCTCAGCGACGTCTGGCTCCTTCGCCAGGCGTCTCTCTACTGCGATGAGCCGCTTCATTGCAGTTTCTCGACTGTAGTTGTCCGGAGGTGGTCTCTTGATCCACGGCTCCGAAACCTGGTACCTTCAGTTCTTGTAGGTCATCGACTGGACCGTCTGATCAAAAACGGCTTGATCATCTGCACAGAATTTGTACAACTGGGGAAGTTCCCCCACCTCCCACATCCTTCTCACCAGTGCATTCAGGTCGACGTCCTTTCCGAAGTACGTGCGTGTGAAATTTGTCGTCTGTTGCGGTCTGGTGCTCCTGCCAACGCATGTCCACCCGAGTGGCGTTCTGCGTGCGAATGGCTCATGAGCCTCACCATAGACTTCCTCCATGCACCTGTGGAGACTAGCGTGGTCAAGGCCGATCAGCGCTTCTACTCGCTTCTTCTGGCATTGCGGAAACTCGATGCCGTTGAGGTGCGGATACCGTGTCTGATCTACCGACCAATCATGAGGTGTAAGGTCACCGGTGACATTCTTGGCAGTCAGAGCAGAGAACTGTGTGATAAATCTGCCATCCAGACTCTCGATGTGGCAGTCGACTGGCATGGTCTCTAGGGTCTCGATGCGGCCGTTCAGCGTGCTCACTGACACTTCTTGTGTGGGAGCGCTAAGCTCTAGCTGTGCTGCAACGTCGCAATTAAGGTAAGACTGCGTGCTGCCGTCGTCCAGCAGCGCGTTGACCGTGACATTCTTGTTGCCGTGGCGAAGTATGACGGGAACGGTTCGCAGTGCGACAGCTCTAACGCCGACACTACTCATATATGTGGCCATGGAACTGGTGTCACCCCCCCCCCCCCCCTCCGTGGAGGCGCTAGACTGGAGCACTGGCTTCTGTGAGGCTCCATTCGAGTCTGTAGTAGCACTAGACTTTCCGTGCAGCAACGCCTTGTGGGTCTCTGTACAACCGTCGGCACCACAGGGCTGCGACCTGGGACAGTTATTTCCCAAATGACCAGAGTTAAGGCAACGGTAGCAAAGCTTGAGCGTCCGGGCCTTCTGCCAACGCTCTGCAATTGACAGCTTCCGATACTCTAGGCATTTCCAAACGGGATGGACCTTCGTGCAGATCGGGCAACTGCTGCTGCTCTGGGCCTTCTTGGGCTTGTCAGCGAAGAATGCCTGATGCTTCACTCCACCATGACTGGCCTGACCCTTCAGCGGGTGACTCTTTGCTGTTTGAGTGGACCCTACTGGAGTTGCCGTGGAGATACCTTGGATCGTCTCCTGGGCTCGTACTTGGAACTCGCTTTCCAGCTCCACCCATTGCAGAAGCGCTTCGACAGATTCAGAGGTGCTTGTCTGGTGTATCCACTTCTGGTAGCTCAGCAGAAGAGACACCCCCAGCTTCTGTGTTAGCCGGACATAAAATGTCCCGTTAGCCAACTCCTGTGTCTGACCACTCGCCTTCAAATTCACCACAGCGACATCGAGTAGCTCCGCAAAACGCTCCAACTCCTGGGCGTTTGCAGATCTCATCGCTGGGAACTTCTCAAGGGCTTCTAGATGCACTGCAACTAGACGTCGCTGACCACCGAACTTGCGTTCCAGCCTACGTCGTGCTGCCTCATACGCCTCGGCCGAGTAGCCAAGAGTGTCGATAGACCGTAGTGCATCGCCCGCGAGGTATTTTCGGAGCTGCAATAACTTCAGCCCATCCGGAATGTTAGCGCAGCCAATGCACATCTCAAACGCCGCCTTCCACGTCTCATATTGCCGCTTGTCGCCCTTGAATGTTGGAATTGACACTTTCTCTAAATGTCGGTACAACTCGATTCTACCAGAACTACTCGCTTGCACTGGTAGACCACTCGGCGAAGTCATGGCAACTGGAAGACTGCTCGGCTGCACACGACCATAATCTTCATGGTGTGACGCGTGACCCGGCTGACCAACTGGTATTTGTTGCATGACCGGTTGGGTCGCTGGTGGTGTAGACATTATTCCAGACTGATTCGGCAAGACGTGCGTCGGGAAGTCGGGTGCCGACAAGAAACCCGGTGGTGTTCCAAATGAGAATGGATGTCCAGAATGGGTCGGCGGTGGAACGTACAAATTTCCTGATCCCGGCACAAATGCAGGTGTAGAAGCCGAGAGAGTATGACTTGCAACTGCACGAGGCTGCACAGCTGGAGTTGGTTGCGTCCCACGAGGAGGCTGCACTGCAGGAGTTGGTTGCGTCTGGGCTGACTGCACGAGTATGGTCGTGGCCGACAATGCTCTGGGTGGTACACTGACCCCACTTGAACTACGGTTAGGGGCAGTGATTACATTTCTTGCCGAAGCTGCCGACGTAGATACCGGTGCCTGCTGCGCGCCAGACTGAGCAATGCCACTTGCCTGGTTACTCCCTGCAGACTGATGACCAATGTCCAGCGGTGTCGCCATGGTTTCGGCGGTTGCCATGGCAACCGGGTGAACTTTTGACAAGAGCTCCGCCGTAAACGGTAATGTAGGTACAGACGACAAAGAGACCGGAAAGGACACCTTAATCGTGCGTGACTTGTCTGTACTCACATTGGTTGCCATGGTTGCACTTGACGACGACACAATTGGCTGGCTGTCACTGACGCTTGCCGTGTCAGCCGCAAGCGATTCGTCCTGTCTATCATGATGGTCACCACTTGGAGTTCCCAGGGGGAGTGCCGATGCATTTGCTCCCAGAGGTGCTCCCGAGGAAACGGCAGGTGGCTGGGTAGTCCCCTCAACAGTCGCACTCTGGCTGACACTGGATGCAGACACATTCCCAAAACGACTGAGACTCTTCTCAGCACACATGTTCTGTTTTTCCTCAAGGGCCTTGCTAGGAGAGTGTGGCGGTGTCAACATCCTCCCACTTGCTCTGGGATTCTCCAAGCTCTGCGTCAACATTGCCTTTACTAATCTTATGTTCTTGGCTCTGGTGATGGAAGCTGGCGAACTTTCACCCGTTCTGGCTCGACTTGGCCTCTTGCTGATTTCTGCCAGCACGTCGCTGGTCTTGCTGACAGCATCGCTGTAGTCGACGTTGATGACCTCTATCTCCTCGTGCACTTTTTCTGTGGGTAGTCCTAATTCTGCGTACCGAGTTACCAGTTTTAGACACACATCCACAGCGTTGTGAACACTCTCAGTCACGTCATCCAACAACCTCTTGATCTCTTTCGAGGTCGCATCCTCTTCGTAGATCCAGCTGAGCAACAAGTTTCGATTTCGTGTGACATGGAACTTGGCCTTGGCCTTCGCCTTCTTGCACTCCTCAAGATCCATGTTGTCCAGCGAAAAGCCGAAATGCTACTCACTACCACACTGCGCTTGGTGAAGGAACCACTACTTGACAACTATCCTCTGCTACCAATTTGTCATGCAGGTTCTCACACGCAACGGGAACACTTCGTGGTAGTAAAATAGATATTTCGCAAACAACAAAAAACAACCCTTTCTCTTCGAAGAACCGAACTTGCCGAGCCTCATCGAAAACAAACAAACTCTGAAAAACCCCTACACTACACTAGTACGGGATTCAGCGCAGAGCAAAAAATAATCATGAGTCATTATACAATGCATGCAGTGTAGCCGTGAAAACTGGTGAATAAAGAATGCAGTAGGTTGGCAGCACGTGACCCGTCGTACCGCAGTACGCGACGGCGTCGCGGCTTAGAAATGAAAGGAAACACTGCGAGAAAAGACAAAACGAAAATACATGTCCCTTTGTCAAAACTTAGAAGAAACAAACAAAATGCGACCAAGAATCATTTTGAGAGTCAACGTCAATACTCTTGTGCAGTTGTGCAAATTCTTGTCTTGCACTGTGCAACACAAGAAACAAACAACCTACGAAATAACTCGTGAACTAACTGTAGGCTAAATCACTAGATGTACGCGAAATTGCGTTCCAAAATAAACTGAATTTCTGAGACATTTCATATTTCACATCCTGAGGGAAATATTGAATAAATAGTAAATACATCCTAAAAAAACACATGGCCACGACGGCCTTCCCAACAACTATGTATGTCGTACTGGGGAACCTTCTCTAGATCCTGCATTATGTACTATTGTGGCATGCAACATTATTTATCTTCAGTCCTTACAGGCCATTCACACGACGTGTAAACACTTGCACGTGTGTGACCAAGATAACACTGGGAAACCGTGATCCAGTTCACACGGTGCTGGGCAAACTTTGCAACCGTCAATGTATCCATAGTGACCTCCTAGAAATGCCGGGAAATGTTAAATTTTGAATTTTCCTTTGTTCAAGCACTGCATTTGCAGTACGCACTTTCAACAACCGATACTTTTGCTGGCATGCAAAGATAGTCGTGAGCAAAAGGGCCTCGGTCAAGATACAAAAATCAGTTGCACGCGTGTGTCCAAGTTTATCGTATCCGAGTAAATATCCTTGGAAACGATACGATAAAAGTGAGTTTGGACGTCGTGTGAATGATAAAAGTGAGTTTGGACGTCGTGTGAATGGCCTATAATAGTCATTTGACTCCATCCTTTCAACTTCACGGAAAGCAACAACTTGTAAATAACAACGCATTTCGATTGCCATTATCCACAAGGTTGACTGTATTTTGGCATCACTATTGGGATTTAGTGTTCTGACTATTCCATATCCTTCTACTTTGTTGTTATTTTTAGTTGCCCCAGTTCATTCTGGATGATGCCATTGCATCAGGTCGTGGAGCTCACTGCAATATCATTGTCACGCAGGTTAGTGACACAGTGAAGTCCTAATAAGAGAAATGTACCCCTCAATCCTAACCCTCAGTTTTTTGGTCAATTTAAGCGGCAGCTAGTCACGTGCAAATTTATTTTGAGATACCAGTAGGCGTTACTGAGTATTTGGTTTTCAATTCTGTTTTTGAATTGAGTTTAAATTATGCTTGCTTGCGATTGGATATACACTATAATCAGTGTCAATTCAGACCTTTTGCTAACGATTTTCGTACACAATTTTCGTAGTTCGGGAACGAGGTTACGAAGATCTTACGGAACTTCGTCTAACCTTGACGGAAAAATACTCTTTCAACGAATCTTGCTTTCGTTCTTATTTGGCGGGATTTGTTTCAACATTTTTAAGACTTTTCCCTCTTTCTTCTCTAACCGTAAACGTGTTGCACTGTATGGCAACAAATTTGCCTGCGCCTGTTCCTCCCACACCTGTTACACTGGATCGGCAAAGGGTAGTTTGGGACTCAGACATGGACTTGGTCCGGCCTAGACAGATTCGGGGAGCAGGCAATCCTTTTGTGCGTGGTTCTTCTGTGTTGGATGATGTCGTTGAAGAGTGTCGTGATGGAGCACGAAACCGCGCTGGCAGGACGAGCCTTTGAAGCAGGCGCGTATGCAGGGTCAACGGGAGGGGGGTTACTTGGGGTCCGTTGTAGTAAATAGCTACGTCACGTTAACCAACTCTCGCGCGTGTTGCGTGTTTCAGCGCATGTGCAGTGCATGAAGACGTCAAGTAGTCGTAGAATCTGCGACTTGACGACTCGTTGACAGCATGGCGCGACGCCCACGCACAGCGCGAGCGCAGGGCAACAAAAGACGAAAAACCGAAAAAATCGTTCAGTTGGCTGACAGAAAGGGGAGATCGTCCGAACCCTGTGGAACCCCCCCCCCCCCCCCCCCCTGGGTACGCGCCTGTTGAAGCAACTCCAGAACCTGTGCTTTCGTAAAGTCAGGTGCGTGCACCGGGTCAAAAAAAGGTGGTTTCCAAAAAATTTCGACCGCCATCTTGCAATATTAAGCTACCTGCAGATTCAGCAGTATTACACGCATTACACACTGAAAGAAAGCTTTAAAAGTTATGGCTGCCAGTCCCACCGAGCCATCAAAACAAATGTGGTACAAAGGCATTTTCCTGACACAGGATAAATGAATAGGCTAGCCGACGTTATACAAGTAGTTCGAAGCAGTGAAGGAAGATTCAGACACTCTTGCTAGTAAGTGAGTCAAAGAAGCAGGTCAATCCATGTCACTGTCTGAGTCTGCAGTGGCACTATAGCCCTGGGAAGACACGTGCAACCGGAAATTGAGACAATTCGCTAAGATCCATGGTATTTTTGTAGTATTCATCGTAGAGCGCTCCTTTCTTTTCTAGCTGACCGCTAAAGACCTGTGCCTGACGTCACACAGGTCTATGCATTTCTGGAGTCCTGGACTAGACTGTCGTGCAATAGAGGAAAATATTTATGACAAAATAATAATTATGATTGCCACCCAAGTGCGGAAGTGAACATTCCGTTCAGGGAAAGCCGAGTTACGAAATATTTGAGTGTTTGCAGAATGCACTTCATAGCGGATGCAAAAAGGTGGTTTCCGGGCTCCAAGAAAACCACGAGGTGCACGCGCCTGAAAGTGATATCTACGCAAACACGTCTCCTCGTCAATTTTGTCGAAAAGTAAGCGATCACCCACATGCTGAGGCAGATTCGCACAGGTATCTTCACATATACATGTAAAGCGAATGAGAAGCAGAAGCTCCTCTACATCCAAAATTTTAGGGGTCAAACGGGTGTACCTTTAACTAACGAACGGGTAATTTTCTTACCGGGCGGGTTAACGGGTACCCTTTAGCAGCCATGTTTAATTTTTACGCATTTTTACATACATGTACTTGGTCCGTTTCATCGCAATTGTCGCTTATCTCCCACGCACCTTTTGACAGGTAAAACCCAGTCCTATCTCGATATCTAACTCACATTCGTTTGGGAGGTTGTGATGGCAAGATCAGAGGAGCCAGAAAGAAAAAAACCATCGCGACTAGCGCCAGTGGCATCGCGATTCATACAATTTTGATGGAAAAGTGGGAAACTTTTCGCTGCAGTGAATGCACTGCAGTGAATGCACACATTCACTGCAGCGAAAAGCCAAGCGCAGCTCAAAGACCGGAACTGTAGCAGGGGAAATCGACATCCTGACCTGGAGAGCGTGACAGTCACGGCCAGGACTGATGGCGAGATGGTGGCAAAGAAGACATTGTCCGACCTGGCAGCGGCAGCACAAGAGTCGTGGTCAGCGTATCCAGCAGAGCGTATGACAGCTGTCTGGAGAGGGATGAGTGCCTGATTCAAAAACATTGTTGAACACACAGTACTGTAGTGACAGACGGGTCACGCTGCCCACGTTCCTCCAAGTGCCAAAGTGACAACCGCGACTGTTCCTTTCCCGTCATACACACCAGTGAATGTGAGCTCAAGTGGCATCAGCTCGAGTGATGCAGAGCCAGAGTCGGATAAACTAAAGCCTGAGTGCAAGAAGGCGCTCCGTCGCTGTTTTCTTTTGTACATTTTTTGTAACCTTGCTTCCTTTCTTCGACTTGCTTCATCAGATTCCATCGCTGAATTTATTTCTTGTGGCGGACAGGAATCCTGTATCATGCTTCTTCACTATGCGTATTGGAAATTTCACAGAGCGGTAAAAAAAACTCCTGTTCTTAGTTGCGATAGATAAGCGACAATTGCGATGAAACGGACCAAGTAAATCATTATTTTAATTCATCTGGTCTCATGTTGCATTTTGATATCACATTGTGATTCGCAAATTGATTTGTGTCTGATAGTTGCAGAGGTAGACCTACTACTGAAGGTGCGAAAATGCTACAACAATGCAGACATCCAGGGTAGAGTTGTAAATAATTGACTCCCGCCGGGAATGCGCGATCCCAGCGGTGTTGTTCCGTGCTGACTGGATCATCGAAATCCAAACGAGTACCCTTTTACTAACGGTACCAGAGATTAACGGGCGGGTACCCGGAACACCCCTTTGACCCCTACAAAATTCCATTCTCGTGCTCAAGAAGGAGCAGAGAGAAAAGCATTTGATGATCGAGTTCTCAAAGGCGAAATTCGAAATAGAAACAAGAAAACACAAAAAGGTACGCCGTAAAATTGTTGTTTTTCAATCTCCCGCAGGTGAGAAAAATGTTGCTATGCCAACAACGCAACGAAATGCGGACATGTGGAGCAAAACGAAAATTTTACGGAACTTCTGTGCGTAATCCAGGCCAAAGGAAAATTAACGAAGATCGTTAGCGAAAGGTCTCTAATGCTTCTGTGTTCTCTTGTGCTTTCTTGGTACAGCCACGTCGTATCAGTGCTGTATCTGTGTCGGAACGTGTTGCCTTCGAACGAAATGAGCGCCTTGGGGAAAGTGCTGGATACAGCGTTCGCTTTGACTCCAACTTGCCCAGATCTTATGGCAGTCTGTTTTTTTGCACTGTTGGTAAGAGTCGTACTGTTTTGTTTAGTCACCCACACCCTATCAGATTTAATGTAATGGATAAATGTAATTGATTATGTAAGTTAACTCATTTAGAGATTAACGGGCGGGTGTCCGTAAATACATGTATTTACTTAGAGACGTCCAAGAGGCGTTTCTTTCTTGACCCACCCACCCACCCCCAGAAACGCCCCCCCCCCCCCCCCACCCCCCTACGAATACAGATAATACCACTCAAAATAAACACCATACTATGCACACATATACCGTACAGTCGACTCCACTTACATGTATAACGAGCTCGCATATAGCGAATTTCGTGATATAGCGAACCCTTGTCCATTTCCCTATTTGAACCCATACATATGTGTCCCTGCCTCCCTGTCGTCCTTGGTCTACTCTGCCGTGATGCGTGCAGTGCAGTGCGTCTCAACGCCTACTTGTGTCTGATCTACAACCTGTAGTGCAGTGCTACATCATGTACATGTACATGTACACACGCGGTATGGTATGCATGCACTCCGAAATGTATTTTTTAGAAACGCCTTGCAGGCGAACCCACCCACCAGAAACGCCTGTTAGACGTCTCTAAGTAATTACATGTATTTACGAACGGCCCCTTAACCCTTTCAGTGCTAATGACGAGATATCTCGCTCTGTAAAGTGTGCCTGAATGGCGGATGACGAGATATCTCGCTCCACGGCCCACGAAATAGTACGAAGTGCATATATCACTGTACAAACTGTCAACGGCGGCTGATTTTCAGAACCGATATACTGTTGGAAAGGTATTGAGCTTAGCTTTCCAGTGATATACAGTTCTTTGCCGATAGGACTAGATTTGAGTGAGCGATGACGAATAGAATTGCAACAAATCTAAAATACGCTTTCTGGCCATCAGTTCAAACTTTTTGCTCGTGACTCGCTTTTTTAGGGATTTCCCTTTGCTACAGCGCATTCGTGTTGGGCATCAAGCAAAGCGCTTGGATCTCTGCTTTGCAGCGCAGTTTGAATCGTGAAGTTTGGTTTAGTTTGAGAGAGATGGCGAACGAAAATGTATTGTGAAGTTGTTTAGCGATTCTGAGACATGTAAGGGCTTCTTCTAGTGCACATAGAAGTGACCCTGGGATGCCTATGGAGCTGAGAACTGCCAAGGAGTCTTCGCTTGGCTCAGGCCTTTCCAACAAGCCATAGATCGTGGAAATCCATCAATGAATGCAAAAATGGCGAAAGATTTTGCTCGGCAACGTGCATGCAGGGTTTGAAATGAAAGCAAATGCGCTGAAAGCTTAGCCGGCAGGGGGAAACTAGGCCAGCAGTGAAAGGGTTAAGGCCACAGGTGATGACACCCAGGCTCTACACTCCTTATTTGGCATTGAAAAATACCCGTTATACGTCCTCAGCGCCTGGGCGTCATTATCGAACATCTTTAGCGCTGAATGGGTTAAAAGCAAGCAGAGTGAATGTATGTACGAAATATGAACCAGCCAAGTACAACCAGCCCCCCCCCCCCCCCCTCTCTCTATTCGTGTTGTCATTCTTGCCATTTAGTCCGAGATCCAAGCCTGGGAAATATTGAAACTAAGCTATTCCGCTCCTATGGGAGGTGTACCAAGGCTTGACGTCACAGATCGATAGAGAAACCATATGTGGCCATCTTTCGAGTGGACTTGGTTGCCGAAGCCTGACTTGGTGGCTCTTACTCACAACAAAACTTCACTTTTTTCCGAAGCGAATTCCGGACTAATTGTTGTGTGTGTTGTGTGTGTGTTGTGTGTGTGTGTTGTGTGTGTGTTGTGTGTGTGTGTTGTGTGTGTTGTGTGTGCTGTGTGTGTGTGTGTGTGTGTGTTGTGTGTGTTGTGTGTGTGTGTGTGTGCGTGTGTGTGTGTGTTGTTGTTGTGTGTGTGTTGGTATGTGTGTGCATGCGTGCGTGTGCGCGCGTGTGCGTGCGTGTGTGTACGTGTGTACGTGTGAGTACATATGTCCGGGTGTATGCACCCGTGTGCCTGTGTTCATGTGTGCCTGTGTTCATGTGTGCCTGTGTTCATGTGTGCCTGTGTTCATGTGTGCCTGTGTTCATGTGTGCCTGTGTTCATGTGCCTGTGTTCATGTGCCTGTGTTCATGTGTGCATGACTGTGCTTATGGTTATTAGGTGTGCTGCTGCGCAAGTTGGAAACAGGAATTCGTGGAATTTCACATGTTGTTGTAGATGAGATTCATGAACGTGATTTGAATGTGAGTACACTACAGGTATTCATGAATTCAAAATGATTACAGGGAATATTATAACCGGTATTGCATCGCAGTGTGTGACCCAAATCTTCTTCTATGGTGCGAAGAAACTTTAGGAATGAATGTGTCGCAGGAAACTGTGAGTGTGAGGCATGTCAAAGTTTCACTGTACCATATGATGTACAGTGTGCATACCCGGTGTGCCACTCAGGGATCAAGTAGGTGCATTTTAAGAAGTGCTGTACATTGTCGCATACACTCGGTTGGGTTCGCAATTAAATGGGAGTACATGCACATAAACGCTAAAGTCAAAGTTTCACCAGTTGTAGTCTTCGGGGTGCTGAGTCGAATGGTCTTGGTTCGAGGAAGCTGAGACGCTTGCTTCCTCCTTTATTCCCAATCAAGCTCGCCACTTCCACCGAAACTGGGTGACTGCGTCCTACTAGCTTTTAGATGCTGAGTCGACTGGTTTTGGTCCGAAAAGGCTGCGATGCAGCGTTCGGCCCTTATTCCCAATCGAACACGGTTGAGTAAATGGTCACGTGCTCATGCATGCACCAGTCACCTGGTCACCGTGCCCACAGACTACAACTTACAGCCTGTTTGGGCGCGTTCCTGTCACTCGAGTTCAACCGTTGAACCTTTGAGTTGAACCTTGGTGTGAAAGTTGTAGCCTGCAGGCACGGTGTACGCGTGAGGATGTGACCGCTTACTCAACCGTGTTCGATTGGGAATAAGGGCCGGACACTACATCGCAGCCCTTTCGGACCAAAACCAGTCGACTCAGCGTCCAAAAGACTACAACATATGGACCAATCGTGGTCATCTGTGCTTTTGTAAGAACGAAATGGCACTTTTAGTGACATTTTGCAGACAAATCTCCATCTAGTAGGGCGCTGTCACCCAGTTTCGGTGGAAGTGGCGAGTTCGATTGGGAATAAATGAGAAAGGGAGCATCTCAGCTTCCTCGGACCAAGACCATTCGACTCAGCACCCAGAAGACTACAACTGGTGAACAATTGATTTTAGCCTTTACTCTGAATGCTATAGGGTGCATTGGTCTGACTCCTCTTTTTTGACTCCCATGTCGTATCGCATGTCCTCATGTTTGCATGCCTATGTGGGCATGTGGGTCTCTGTGTGTGTGTTTGCGTACATTTGCGCATACGTGTAAGTTGCAATTTGTTTGTAATTTTGCATCCACTGTGTAGACTGACTTCCTGCTGGTAGTTCTACGTGACATGATGATTGCCTACCCTGCTCTTCGAATTGTCCTCATGTCTGCCACTATCGACACGTCTCTGTTTTCTCGCTACTTCGACAACTGTCCCATTCTGGAAGTGCAAGGAAAGACCTTTCCTGTGTCACGTAAGACTACAAGACAGTCAATACTAGCATGGCGCCGATATTTTTTTAATAGCTTTACTTGAGAACGGCGATATACCATTATAGCTTTACTACCGTACTGGCAATATAATTATATGGTCGCAGTGAGGCCATGAAGCGTTACATTGGCACATGTTTACCGCACGCAGGGCGTTACATGCAAAGTCGCACAGGAGCCGTTACACAGGTTTCTATATTGCCGCAGTCCTTTTTTTGCTATTGCCACATCACTTTTTTTGCTATTGCCGCATCATTTTTTTGCTATTGCCGCATCATTTTTTGCAAACTGCAATGAAAAGATCGCCGCACCCCGCCGGACGCGCGTTACGAACGCAACGAAAATTTGTCGCACTAGCCTGGTCGCGCGTTACGCCGCACCCCCCTGCGTTACGCGTTACGCGGCAACATATATTGCCAGTACGGTAGTATGCTGTTCTGAAAGACCCGGTCATGCATGCATGCTCATACGCATAGACAAGAGCCACGAGACAAGCACACAGGCTCACAGTGTTAGGCCGGGTGCTGCTGGCATGGTTCAATTCTGTAACTACTTTATTTACTCAAATTAGCCCTGCCTCGAAAATAAGCGCCACCTTGTTATAAGCCCTTTGGTAGAGAAGTGGTTGAAATGTTCAACTCTTATCTGAAAGTATCTCCTGTGGGGGGCTATTTTGACACAAGGCATATTTTTGGTGCGATCGTCAACTGCAAACATGTACCGTATATTATACATAGGTCAGATGGTAAAAACATCCTTCAAACGCATTGCAGTACGGTGCAGATCATGAACTCTGCAGAAATGTATGGTGTACGACTAAACGTTACGCATTTCAGAAGTGTGTACGCCACTGCACGGTAATTGTTTCCCGTATTCTCTGATCTGTATGATTTTCCTTTGTCCACAGCTGGCAGAACCCAATAATACATAGGTACCCAAAACGGGCTCTCGAAGCCCCTAAATAGCTCCTTAAGCTATCAATAAGAATGAAGTTCACAATAACAGCCCAGGATTTTTCTTCGATCCTCCTTTACTAGTACTCGGTGCTGTTGAGTTACCGAAGGAAAATGTGCTATCATACCATACCAATTTTCTCTGCACACAAACTACAAAACTACCCGTGTAAGGGTACACACGTATGATGCGTTATATGTCTTACAATGAATCTCGATTAAATTTTGGCAAAGATTATCCTGACCTAGCTTGAAAAATAACTGCTTGGTCAGCTTCTATGCGAGGGGGATAATAACCTCGTGCTGAAATAGTTAGTGCATGGTAGATCGGGCCTAATGCTTGTTAGTGCCCTCGGGCTAACCTGGAGGGCACTAACAAGCCATAACTTCCCTGCCATGCACTGACCTATAATTGAAATTCCGCAGTAAATGTGCGATGCATGAACGCGTACTCTCAGTACTTCGAGTACAATGACGCATTTTTTGTTGGTGTTTCTGGCTACTCTTCTTTGCGCTGTTCCAACACCTCTCCGCTGTATGAAATTCATTGTACTCATTCAGTGCCCTTTTTTGCCTGTTTCCATTCAATGAGAAAGCGTCAAAACATTTCTGGGCATTTTTGAAAACATTACTTGTAAGGAACGTAACCCTAGTTCTTTTCTTCTTCAGTCTAATTTTTTATATTTTTGTTTGTTTTAGGGTATTACATGGAAGACACAGTAGAGTTGCTCCGATTCATGCCCCCTCCATCGGATAGAAAGAAGAAAGGATCCAGTCGTGATGATCCTGATGATGAGGAAGTTGAGGTATGTTGGTCTACTGTTGCGAATTATTCAATTATATAATATACTCCCTCACTAGAGGGATTTATTGACTTTTTTTCACCCGACTTGGGCCATTGGGTCAGATCTGGGTTAGCGTCATGCTGGGATCGAATATTGGATCTGTTTACATGAGCTTGTTGTTGTTGTTGTTGTTGCTGCTGCTGCTGCTGCTGCTGCTGCTGTTGTTGTTGTTGTTGTTGTTGTTGTTGTTGTTGTTGTTGTTGTTGTTGTTGTTGTTGTTGTTGTTGTTGTTGGTGTTGTTGTTGTTGTTGTTGTTGTTGTTGTTGTTGTTTTTGAATTCTTTATTCTCACGATGGCACCATCGCCAATAAGAGATTGTTGTTGTTGTTGTTGTTGTTGTGGTCGTCGTCGTCGTCGTCGTTGTTAATATTATTCTCGGATATTGAGCCAATAGTAAGAGAAAAGGACCTATAAGTTACTAGTTATGACTAACAGTCCACCAATATCCTTGTCAGTCTTGTTGTCGCACTATCTGACTGTGTATTATCTCGTTACCTTGGTGGACTGTTAGTCATAACTAATAACGTATAGCACATTAGAGCTTGCGGTAATGTAGGTTAACACATTGCACAAGCCACCATTTCACACGCGCTCCAGCGGCTTCCAAAGAGCCCGCAGATCCCACGCTATTCATTGATGCATGTCAAGTAACACGTACATGCACGCTGTGGTGGCATGTAACATGCGTAGATCTACGCCGGAACTCACCTGAACTCGCCAGCCAACCAGCCATATGCGGCTGCAGCACACATCGGAGCTTGAACCCGTAACGCATACACCATACTTCGCGCTGGCCGTATTGCTACTTCATATTTGCTTTGCTTGGGTAGTGAGAAGAACACCGGTTTGTTCCTTTCTCACTTTCTCTCTCTTTCACCATGCCACGAGGCTCTGTACGAGGAAGCAGACGTGGACGCGGACGCGGGTATGCCGTCGAGGTTACCCGTCGCCGCTCGGGTAGGGCTTCAACCTCGCCATACGCGCGGACTGACGGCATGCGCGCCTTCGCGCCTGATGCCTCCGACACACCGTCAGCAGCTAGTTCAGACTTCTGACCGCGCTCCAGGCACCGACGCTTCTATGCAGGACGAGCCCTCATTGCTCTCCCCGGACATCATTTCCTCAGCCGTTATGAAGATGAACGCCCTCCACCCTCTCCTCGAACGCGTGGAACGCCTGGAGAACAGACAGTGCTGAGTCTGATCTGGAAGCCGATCTCTCCCACGCGCGCGCTCCGCACCCGAAAGATCGCTCCCACGCTCCGAGCGTCAAGCTCCGGACCTATCCTGCCCGGAACTTCCAGTTCTATCGGAACCTCCGACTTTGCCAGGACCTCCAGTTCTCTCCAAGCCCTCGGTTCTACCCACACCGCCACGTCGTGCGATTGAAAAAAATCCAGCGCGGAGAGTTCGTGGAGCTTGAGGAACTCTTGCCGGAAAATTTCAGCTCCCAGGGACAGGAGCCAATACAACTGGTTACAGCTGGCGGCGACATGGCTCAGCTCTCGCTCAACCTCAGCGCAAAGCACACGTGCGCGATCAACTGTAACATGTTGCACATGTTCCGTTTGGCGTAGTAATATTTCCACTCTTAATTATAGCTATGAATTGTGACTCTACTTCATGACATGTATGCATACGTCATTCGTACACACTCACAGGCACACACGCATGCGTATCCTTTCGTTGGCTCGCTCTGTTATGATGCTGGTTCTTCCTTTTGCTTGAAGAGGATGTTTTGGACTTGAGAGTTGCAGTTTTGATCTCAACGTCTTGTCATGGTTGGAACTGGTGCCTGGCTGGGGGCTGGGGAGTTTATGCTCCTGTGAATGTAATTGTAACCTCAGGCCAAGGTTACACGTGGTGGCAGCGAATTCGAATTCCACGTCTTGTGAGAGCACGCGTACCAAATATTATTTGTGGAAGATTGATCGTGTAGAGATGGCTCAGCAAGGTGGCGCTCCTCCGCCCCCTCCACCACCACCACCGGGCCCAGCGCAACAACCAGCACGTCAACAACAGCAGATGCGGGCATGGGCCACGCCAGAGAAATTCTCTGGCGAGCGCAACGCCGACTGGACATCATGGATTGGCCATTTTCGCCTCGTCGCGAATGCAAACAACTGGACACCGGCAGACCAAAGCAGGTACATTGGGTTGTACCTCACCGGCCACGCACTGTCTTACTTCCAAAGTTTGGAAGCCCATACGAGGACAGGCCCATTCGACCAGCTGCTGCAGGCGTTTGAACAGCGATTCGGCGACGCAAACTTCATCCCCACGTTCAGAGCAGAGCTGCAGTCACGCCGGCAAATTCGTGGCGAGTCCCTGTCGGATTTTGCGGAAGTCGTCCGCAGGCTCAGTAGACGGGCGTACCCCACGGTGGCTGGAGCAGTGCAGGATACCCTGGCGCGCGACACCTTTGTAGCCGGCCTTGACAGCAGGGACCTGCGCCTGCATGTTCGTGGCACGGACCCACCAACATTGGATGATGCACTCCGACGGGCTATGCATTTTCAGTGCATCCTGGAGGCAGACCAGCAGCAGCAGGCAGCTAGCCCAGTTATATGTGCGGTGCAATCTCAACCCAGTGACCCTCCACTCAACGCCCTGCTGTCGAGGATGGCAGCCCTGGAGGACAAGATCTCCAGGCTCACGCTGGAGAGGCCAACTAATCTGCATCGGAGTGGAGATGGTGACACCAAGCGGTGCTATGTGTGCGACAGCACAATGCATTTCGCACCTGACTGTCCGCACCAGAGATACACACCGGCTAACCGTGGTGGTCACCGGGGTCGTGGACGCGGTCGGGGAAACTGAGCGTCGCTGACAACCAGGGTCCGCCGTCAGCAACCTCCCCAATGGACCCATGTACCGGTAAGCAGAGTGAACCGTGTTCTGTGTGTCGCGAGGCTGTCTGCTTACCTACTGAGACAACTTGTCAGGCCTGCACAACTACTCCAGCCGAGTGTCCAGACAACTCGATCGTCCTGCCTCTGTCGTGTCTTGCAACACAGTCCGACAGCACGGTGCAGATCCAAGGCACGGTCGAGGCTGTACCAGCCAACATGCTTGTGGACACCGGCAGTTGCGTAACGTTGTTGAGCACCAGCTTTGCTAAGTCTCTCTCTCATCGTAATGTTCATTTATCTATCTCACCCGTTAATACTGTTCTTAAAGCGGTAAATAATTCTTCTGTCCCTGTGCTCGGGGAAGCTGTCGTATTGTTAGCAACTGGCAAGCTTGCTGTACGCCACAGAGTCATTGTTGCTGACATTATGCCCGATGTGCTAATCGGCATTGACTTCTTGCAATCTCATGGCTGCACAATTGATTTCGGTCGCAACATGCTCGATGCAGGCGGTGTCGATGTACCCCTAGAGCCCACCCATAATGCTAATCCTGTAGTCTGCCGTGTTCATCTTGCTAATTCGGTTACTGTACCAGCGTACACACAAGTCATTGTTCAAGCGCAGCTGCGTACCGATGATAATCATTTCCCTAGCTCTGCTGGTTTTGTTTCACCCTCAGAGAAGTTTATTTCCAAGTTTAGCACTGCTATGTCACGTGTGGTGGCTACTCCTGACTCTGCTGGCCGTGTTTGGATTCGCCTACAAAATTTTCTTCCTCAGTCCACAACTGTCCCGAAGAATTATCAAATTGCTGAATTTGATTCTGATATTTACATTGACGATGATCTCAATGATTCGCCTACGCATGCTGCCTCTGTTGACGAGCATAGCTGTAACGCAGTACAGGAAGAGAGCTGCTCACCTTCCGAGCCAGACGATCTATTTGACTTACGTCACCTCGATCCGCAAGCGCAGTCTGCTATAGCTACTGTGCTCAACGACAATGCTGATGTCATCTCGCAGGGACAATTCGACCTTGGGAAGACTGATGTAGTAACACACAACATCCAGACTACATCTGATCAACCTAAGAGACAGCCACCCCGCCGAATTCCTCTCAGTCAACGAGCCGAGGTAAAGCAGCACGTTGATCAACTGCTTGATCATGAGATTATATCTCCATCCAGAAGCCCCTGGGCTGCTCCGATAGTTGTCGTACGCAAGCCTGACTCATCTATCCGGCTATGCATCGACTACCGGCAGTTAAACAGTATCACCGAGAAGGATGCCTTTCCCCTTCCTCGTGTGGATGATGCTATCGACGCTATGGCGGGTGCACGCTACTTCTCTACCTTAGATCTCGCAGCTGGCTATTGGCAGGTGGAGATAGATGAAGCTGCCAAAGCTAAGTCGGCGTTTGTGACACCGTTCGGATTATTCGAGTGGAACCGTATGCCGTTCGGCCTGTGTAACGCACCGGCAACTTTCCAACGCCTCATGAACCGGGTCCTTGGTGACCTAGTACCCAATATCTGTCTGGTCTACTTGGACGACATTATCGTGTTCTCATCAACGATTGAGGAACACATGCGTCGTCTCGAAACTATATTCAGTCGTCTTCGTCAAGCTGGCCTCAAGATCAAGCCCAAGAAGTGCTCACTGCTTCAGTCCTCAGTCACGTACCTGGGATTCTTATTCTCAGAGCAAGGTGTGGCACCGGACGCAAGCAAGTTCACGGCTGTTCAAGACTGGTCATCCCCAACATCACTGAAAGAGGTGCGTAGCTTTGTTGGTTTCGCATCGTACTATCGCCGCTTTGTGCCACATTTCTCAGAAATTGTAGAGCCCCTGAACCGTTTGTCCCAGAAGAATGCCACTTTCAACTGGACAGATGAGTGTGAACAGGCGTTTGCTGAACTGAAGTCCCGACTAGTCAAGTCACCTGTTCTGACATATCCTGATCCTGCCAAACGCTTCATCCTGGACACTGATGCGTCAGATCTCGCCATGGGAGCTGTTCTCTCGCAAGTCAATAGTCACGGTGAGGAAGTAGTGATTGCCTATGCCAGCAAAGCATTAACGAGATCCCAACGTAACATGGGCAGTACAC